AATGACTCTGCCTAATACGTTGTACCGTATTCCCATGGATCATTATATTGTATATATGTATGTCTCTATACAAATATTCCTTTTCCCCATGTGTTTAATTTTTTTTTGTAGATAAAATAGCATCATTTTGTGTTCCACTTGGGGGAGCTGTTAGCAAACCAGCCCTTGAAGGCCCAAGGGGCTGTGAGACCAAAGAGGCTGCTAAGTCCTAGCTATTATTGAGGGGGCTTACCTACAGGAGTTTGTCCTGGGTGGCTGTTGGACACTTAGATCTCCTCACTGCTTGGGGTTTAGGGAGGCTAATCTATAGAGGTAAGGACAAACGGTCTATGTGCAGGGGGGCCATCTGGGTGCTTAGTCAAAGCAAGGGCTGATATCTTACCAATGTTGTTAGTTCCAACTCAGAGGTTATGAAATGCTCCCTGTTTGCAGTACATACAAGATGTGGGAAGGGAGTAAGGTAAGCTGTCATTATGGCAGATTTGTCAAAATGGCATTACTCTTGCTCACAGACATTTTATAATTTTATTTTTCTTAACATGAAGTTTTTGAGAATCCTCATGTCTACACATGTAGAACTGGTTCATTTGTTCTAACTGCAGTAGGATATTCCTGTGTGTGAATTAACAGTCTAATTGTTCCTCTACTGATGGACATTTAGGTTATTTCCATTTCTTTCTCATTTTTCTAGGATAAACAATGCTCTGATGAATATCCTCATCTATACCTCTTTGGGCACAGGTTACCTTTTCAACTTTATTTAGTTTTGAAAAATTATTTTCTTATGTACTTGTACTAATTTACACTGTCACTGGCAAGCTTCCTGTATTCCTAAATACTCAAACATATTTAAAGTTAATAATGTTATTTTTTGCCAATAATTTAAGTATAAAAATGTTATCTTATTATTACTTAGTCTGCATTGCCCTTATTTCCAGTAAGGTTAAACATTTTTTTATAAGTTTATTGGCCATTTGGATTTTTATCTCTGTGAGCACATTACCCTTTGCTTATTTTTTATTTCTGATGTTTTGGTCTTTTTCATACTGATTTGTTGGTACTCTATAAAGATTCTGAATACTAAATCCTTTATTTATTATAATCACATTTACTGGCCTTTTCCTTTATTGTTTCTATAAACTGCTTCTTATACTTTTCTGTAAGTTAAGCCTTTGCTATAAAGTACATTATTCACAGACCAGTAGTATTAGCATCATCTGGGCACTTGTTGAAAATGCACCTTCCTAGGGCCTACCCTAGATCTGCTAAATTAAAACCTGAATTTTAATAAGACCACTAGATGACTTATACATGCATTAAGGGTTTTCAAATACTGGACCAAATGTTTAAGAAAAGTGTAAGTTTTCCCCCTGGGGTAATAGCACAGTAGTTCCCACCTGCTTTATGCTGCTTTTTTATAAATAAAACTCCCTAGCTTTAGACCTGTGTGTCCTCAGTGCATATAACCTGGAGCTGCAATACAAAATTTCAGAGATCAAAGAAGCTATTAGAATCTGATTTGTAAATCTGGATATTTGTGCAGTTTCATGGTGGGGTCTTCAAAATGGAGACATGCCTGTTTACCTGATTCCAGAGAGAGGAATAAACAGCGATCAAAGCTGCATTGAAATGCAACTCAAAATGCAAGCCTTGGAAGTTTGTTGAATGCTGTCAAGAAAGGAACTAGTTCAGTGAGGAAGTATAATCCATCATCTCCCTTGTTCATATATGCCTCTATTTTTTAGTTGATACAAAATGCTCCAGAAATAAAGAACAACTAAAATTAATAGGGGAAATTGCCAACAATTGTACATGTGGTCAGATATGTGATGACTTCTGTATATCACCATGATTTCCTAAAGAGTGTGGGAGTGGTTGGCCATGTATGAAGCAGACACTTGAAGGAGCACACAGCTACAGTTGAGAATCATAAAATTACGCCCTGCCTTTTCCGACATGAGGGAGGTGACTCCACAGGTTGAAACCATCTGCCTAAAGGAATGTAGCAGAGGTATTTACTACTCACTGAATGTCATGCATGCTCCCACACTTCCCCACAAAACACTGGATCTGGCCAATAGGTTGTGGGAAGGCAAAATGTGTCATGTTTGACCGAAAACATTTAATGTCTTGCTTTCTCTCTCTCCTGACCTGCTATAGCAACCAAAGAGGTCAGGAGTCACCTATGATGCAGCCACAAAATAGTTGAGCCTCCATCAGTAACCTGGAGCCCTGAGTGACCAGGCAGAGGAGGCCCCCGGCCCCACTTACTCACATTGGACATGTAGCATGAGTTAGAAAGAGATGTTTTTATTTGTGTTAAGCCACTGAGATTTGGGTGTTGTTTGCATTGCAGAATATCCTAGATTATGCTAGTACAGTGAGCATAGCCAACTCTGCCTTATTAATAATAGCTAACACCGTTGAGTGTTACTCTATTCCAGTCACCAAGCTGTAAATTCTACATGCATTACCTAGTATCTCACAACAAGCTTCTGAGATAGACAATAATATTATCATATATCATATGACATCTATGATATAGATCTACATCACATATATCAATAGTATATAGGTCTATGTGTATAGATATATCATATATATCAGTAGTATGTTGTGAGAGGATGCTTTCCTTTTAGCTAAGGAGTCTCTCCTAGCTAAAGCCATCCCTCCACATCAGATCTGGATGCCATCTCTTCCTCCCTTATATTATTGATTATTCCTTTACTCTCCTGAATCTGTATTTTTTCCCCTTCTATTCAGTTTGCACCTCAGCATTCTCAAGTCTCTCCAAGTTTAACAAAAGCCCTCCATCCACCTCCTGACCTTCTCCAACTACTATTACCTCTCCTCTCCTCTTCTCTCCTCTCCTATCCCATCTCTTGTCTCCTGTCTCCAAAGCTCCAAATGCTCTCCAGTTGCAACCCTGTTCCACAGGCTCTCCCTCTCCGGCTTCTCTAGCTCCTCTTCAACTTCATCAGCTGTTGCTGGGTGTTAGGTTTTGGCCTTCATCACGACTCATCCTAGCCTCCTTTTCTCCTCATTCTGTAGTCACTTTCCAGTCTTTCATCTAGCAGTCTTTCCCAAAGCTGCTGTGACTACATAGACCAACACACCCCCAGCCATGTGGCTCCCTCTGGGGCTTCTGCTCACCAGTTGCCTACTCAGCCCAGCACCTCCACTTTGATGTCAGTAAGCTGAAGACTGACCTGTCATTTTCTCCCCACCATACTTACCCAGCTCCAAACCCTCCTGCTCCTTCCTCAGTGTTTCCCATCTTAGTAAATGGTGCCACCCTCCCCCAGTTTGTTTATGTTGGAAACCTGGGAGTAGAGCTGCATCAATACCTTTGGGAGTGCACAGCAACAAAATGTGTTTCACTATAGTTTGAAATAAAAAAAATAAAGCATATCATAACTAAAGTAAGTCTTTAAAAATTCTTATTCTCTTACTTCCTATAAGGATTGTCATGATGCTTTCAAAACAAATATACAATCCTTAACAAAATAATTTAGGGCCTATTCTTGGCTGTTGCTCTAAGAGCTATTTGGTAGCCCTGCACCGCCTAGGAGTCAACAGACACTATTTCATCCTGAAACAACTACCTCCTGAGTATTGCTGAATTTGCCTGCTCCTCCTTGGTACCAATGAACTGTATTCCAAGCCAGGGTGACTGCCTGTTTGAGTTTCTGCAATAGCCTCTGAATCCTCCTCCTTGCTCCCATTTATTTGCCACAAGGCAGCTAGGCAGAATGATTCCAGAAATACACATAAATGATCCTGTTACTCCACTGCTTAAAACTTCCCATTGCCCTTAGTATAAAATCTCAGATCCCCAGAAGGCCCAAGACCCTGCCACCTTGCCATGAGTCAGTGTCACCTCTCTGAGCTCCCTCCTGTAAAGAACCAAGTTCCTTATGAGCCTTTGCCCACAATTTACTCTCTGCTCACAGTTCTCTTACCTTCCCAGCTTCTCCTTCTTTAGTTCTTAAATGTAATGACCTTTCTTCAGATAAGCTCTTCTTAACCTCTCACACCAGGTCGATGCTCCTGGTTAAACACTTTCTTAGTAACCCCACTTTGCTCTGTAAATAAATGATTATTGGTGTATTGCATAGCTTCATTTCTCCTCCCAATTTTAATGCAAACTCCATGAGAAAGTCAGTAATGCACCCTAGCGCACACAGTAATTCAGGGATCCTTGAATCCAGCTTTGTCTGATTCTGGATCCTATGTCTTACAACTACCACATGTAAATACATCTACTATGTATCTTTGTTTTATGATGGCCAAGTGTTTTATGCACAGGAAACTAAGGATTGACCATAGAAAAATGTAACATCTCTGGGTGGATTCTAAAGCAATGATGTTCTGCACATGGTGAATCTCTTTGTGCATGTTCTTGTCAGTAGCCGATTGTACACCTCTGCCTTCTCCTTCAGCTGGAGGACGAAAGGCAGGTATTCAGAGTACTGGCTGAACTGGCTAAGCTGGACACCAGCTATCCCACGGCCTAATCTCCACATTCGTAAATGAGGGTAACACTAACCACCTTACAGGACTGTAGTAGGGCTAACTCATTCCTAAGAATTTAATGATTAGCTCGTATATGCCAGGTCTTGGTTTAGATCCTGGAGATACAAATGCGATTCAGGATGTCTAGCGGAGTGCCTTTCTCATTTAGTTATAGTCACTATTACTAGTAGTATTACAGTGTGTGTTGATGTTTGCCGGTGTCACACAGCTTGAGAGTGTATTTGTGATGTCTGTCAGTATCGGGACGGGGTTCCTAAGGGGCCTGTATATCCATCAGTGTAAGCCCACGATGTCCGGGGCAGCTCTGCGCCGCGTGGCCGCCGCTTTCCTCAGGCGAGGGGGCGCGGCTCCCACCGCCCCGCCTCCGCTCCGCTTCCCGGGCGCCCGCCCCTCCGGGCCTCTAGTCCACCGCCCCGCCCCTCCCGGCCTCGCGCCCGAAGCCCCGCCTCCGTTGCTCTTAGCTGCCGTTTGTTGACTTCCTGGAACGCTTGAGCCGCCGACGTTCGGAGGGTCGCTGTGGGTGTCCAGAGGGCTTGCCAGACCCGCGTCGGATCTGTGGCGCTGTTTTAGGCCCCACCGAATCGCCCCTGCCGCTTTCCCGGCCCAGGGGCAGGCTCCCCGTGCCGCCCTGGGCATGGAGGAACCCGAGGAGGTGGTGCCGAGTGAGTCGCGCCGGCGGTCCGGGAGGGAGGGTCCGCGGGCGGCCAGGCCCCGCCCCCGGGTCGGCCCCATCCGGGCACAGGCCTGGTCCGCGGCCGCCGCACTGGGGCCCGAGCTCAGGCTACGCCCTGGCGAAGGACTGCGAAAGAGAGGGAAAGGGGAGGAACGGGAGGGGCGACAACGGGGAAAGGGGTGCCTGTCTTTATTCTTCTGTTTAAATAAGCATTCGATGAGTTTCTCTAAGGCAGAGAGGGTTTTTACCGCCCTATAAACTTCCCAAATACCTGTTTCAAGTCCCCAGGACAGTTATGTATTGAATGCAGTAGAGAGTGGGTGGCCGGCAACATGAGGTAAAAGAGTATAGTGAAAACGACTTGAAGAAAGGGGGTAAAGAGAGAGCCACTAGCGAACATTTCTGAAAGACTTTTCCGAGTTCCAGAAATCCATATGCTATTGTGACTTGGTACCGCGTGTATACTGTGTCACAGAAATAGACATTTCATGAAGCAGTACTTATTCTAACTACTTGGGATGCGCTCATATCTTTTCTATAATAACATCCTTTAAAAATCGTCATTGTGACCCACTAAATTGATTTTCTGACCCACTAATGGATCATGACTAACAGTTTGAAAAAACAGTGGATTAGGGCAGAATCATGCATACACTCAACTATGTATTGCATTCTGCCATGCTTTTGGTTTTCACATGATTAAATTGCTGTGCTCTTGAAGTTCACAGCCTAGTGAGAGAGACAACACAGTAAACAAAATGATAATGCTATTTAAGATAAGAGTAAATGCTAGGGGGCCAGAGCAGAGCTACCAAACCCTGACTTGTGAGGGTATCAGGGAAGCCTTCCTGGGGAGCCAGAGCAGGACAGAATAGTTAAAATGATTCATTCTAGAAAAACCCAGAGTTGTTTTAGAACCTGGCCTCCCAATTCTCAATTCCAGTTTGAACTGACATGCCTCACAATTGTTCTCCAAAGCTGGATCTGGCGTGTGTGTGTGTGTGTGTGTGTGTGTGTTTAAATAGTCTGGCGTGTGTGTGTGTGTGTGTGTCTTTGTGTGTGTTTAAATAGTCGTTAGAAACTGGGGTTTTGGTCTCTTTCTAAAATGGTACTGGACCAAAGCGATTTGTGAGTACTACTCAGATCAAGTAATATTTAATGATCTAATTTCAGAATGTTAAATCTCAACATCCTGCATCCTTATGATGCTAATGATGAAACAATACTGTCCTATTTCTCTGTGTGGAGAAAAGCCCTCACTCAGGGACTAGACCATGAAGGTCCAGTGCTGAGTAGGGCACTGACGGTAACAGCTCATTCCAGGGAGCCGATAGTGTACCTGGTGACAGCAGGACTGTTAGTGATCAAAGACTGCTATCCTTGTGATAGTACGTTTTTTTATGTTACACCAGTAAATGAATAGTAGACATTTAATGTAGTAGATTTCATAAATAAGAGTAGAGTGAAATCTGAGGAGTAAGACTGAACGTTGAATAAGGAGGGTGTAACCCCTGCTAGAATGGAGGCAGAGCTGTCATGGGACAAAGAATCTATGTAGATAATCGGTATAGACAACATAGTAAAAATTGTAAAGTAGAAATTATTGTGTATTTGCAGGTTCAGGTGCTTTGTTTACATTTGGAAAAAACAAATTTACTGAAAATATTCCCAGCAAATTCTGGTTTAAAAATGATATACCTACATTTCTTTCATGTGGAGATGAACATATTGCTGTTGTTACAGGTTAGTACTAAAATCCTAAATGAAGATAGCAATCCATAGAGAATCCTAAATATTACAGATATGCTCTGTTTTAAACATGTTTAAAATATACAGAAAGTGTTGAGTTTTTTTGGCTTTACCAGCAAATTCTTGACAAATTGATTCATCAAGAGAGTCCTTTATATCTGAAGTTCCCTTACTATATTTAAATGTTTTTTACATATTACTTGGAATAAATATTTTAATATGTAACTACTGTATAGTCTTAGAAATTCTTTACACCTACCAGAATCTGGTAACCTGTAGATAGATGGTTAAAATTATTCATTTTAACCTGGAGAAGGTAATCTGTTAAAACATGGAAAATCAATGACAACTTTTAAGTCTAGTTTTTTTTATTGCTTTGTGATGACTTCATCACACATTACTTTGTGTTGAAAATGCTTGTTTCTTTTTCTTTCCCACCAGGAAATAATAAACTTTACATGTTTGGCAGTAACAGCTGGGGCCAGTTAGGATTAGGATCAAACTCATTTGTGGGCAAGCCAACATGTGTCAAAGGTTTGGAGTCTTTCCTTATCACTTTAAATACTTAATAAACTGAAAGTCTTTAGCTCTTTATTTTCTGATATTTACTTGAATAATATTGTCATTTAACTTTATTTTAGTATGATATTCAGAACTACTTTTATATGTTGGGGTCTGAATATCACATTGATTTTAAACCCACAAGGGAAGTAATGATTCTACAGTATTGTACTAGGACATCCTTTTTTTGTGTCTGTAAATCTACTTAAATATTGCTGTAATTGTATATACAGAGAATAAGCAGTATAATATGGTAGAATCCTGAGCTCTGTCTCATTTGTTAGAGTTGTGTATGTAGCTGCTGGTTTTATAAAACACACGAGCAGATGTACTGAACAAAACATCAGAACTAGTGGTTAGTTAGTCCAAGTGTTCTTAGAAGAACAACAGGACAAAATATTTTAAAGCAGAAGTGTCCCAGGAAATATGGGACATAGAATATCTTCACAAAGCTTTCTTGCAGTTATGTGAAAAGCTTCTGTTTGGTTATAACCTTTGAACATCAGCTAAACTTGAATGGCGGTAGAGATTCCTCAGAATGTGAAAAGAGCAGTATTCTTTATCTTCCTAGCCGAATTTTTAATTTCAGTTTGCAATTTCAGTGTGATTTGTCCTACCCATGCTATTTATAGTGTTAGAACTTTTAAGTCTTCCACCTGGACAAAACAGTATTTATAGAGCATAGTCTACTAAACCCTTCGTAGCACTTATGATCCTTACTCTCAAATATCTGATAGACCAGCTAACAGGATTGTCTACACCGTGAGATCCTTGAAACCAGGAACTCTTAGTGATCTTTGCAGTCCCTGTGCTAAGCACTTAGGAGATGTTCTGTAAATGTTTTTTGAATATGTAAATGATGAATAAAGAACTTTAATATAGGTGTATGCCTATGAATATCGAACTTAAAGTGTTTCCTTTCAGAAGGTGAGTTTGATGATGGTAATGGCAGATTAGGGAATAGATCAGGTTGGTGAGGAGGCAGCATAACGGTGCAGTAGATCTCAGCATATATTAATTACTTAAAGAGTTTGTAAAGATATATAGGTGTCTAGGCCTTACCTCAGATCTACTGACTTAAATGCTCTAGGGGTGAGGCTGAGCTATCTGTATTTTTCTCAAAGCTCCACTGGTTATTATGATGCACAAGTAGTTTTGAAAACTTTTGGTTTATTAGTTAGGAACACCAACTTTGTAGTCAGACAGGCCTGGGTTTAAATCTCAGTTGTATCACTGAGGTACCATTTGACCTGGTTTATTTATCATTTTTCATAACCATAAGATATTTTAATTGTCATCTTTTTGTATTTTTAGCTTTAAAACCTGAAAAAGTGAAATTTGCTGCCTGTGGAGGGAACCACACCATCATTTCAACAGGTGTAGTAATCAATCTGTATGCGGATCTGAGGATTGAGGTCTCATTCCAGTAACATTTGTGGCTGTCAAATTAATAGAAATTGTATCTTGGCAACAATAAGATTAGGATTTTTAAAAATACAAATGGTTAGCACCCTTGTTTGCCTTTGAAAATGTGTAGGTAAATGTTCAGTGGCTGAAGATAAACCTTTACTTAGATTACGGCAAAGGACAGCATCTCCTTACCTGTGTGCACACCTCAAGGGCTGCTTGCTTCTGACCTTGTTCTTCCCTCTTCTTTTCTGAGGATGAGTGGAGGTCCCCCTTAAAAGGCTATTGATGTGAGTCCTCACAATTGCAATCAAAATCCAAACAGGCTCTGTGTGTGTGTATGTAGAAATGAACATGATACTAAAGTTTACATGGAAAAGCAAAAGACCTAGAATAGGCAAAACAGTTTTGCAAAGAACCAAATTGGAGCACTAGCACTGCCTGATTTCAAGACCTACTGTTAAGCTACAGTAATCAAGGCATTGCACTGTTACCACAAAGGGGAACAAAGATTAATGGAACAGAAAAGAGTCCAGAAGTAGACCCACACCCATAGATGCCCAACTAATGTTTGACAGAGGTGCCAAGCCAGTTCAGTGGAGAAAAGGTAGTCTTTTCAACAAGTGCTGCCGGGACTCTTCGACACCCAGGCTCTGAGCACTGAGCAGTCCGAACTCCTTTCCCACACACACAGCTGCCTCTGTCTGGAGGCTGTACTCACTGCCTTGGCTGCTCCTCAGCTCTCTGCCCTCATTCATACTTTTCCCTTGCTGACATATCTTTTCTCTTTCTCTTATTCAGATTCTAATCTTTTATGATCCAGTGTAAGTCTTACTTCCTCTGTGGAGCTTTTTGTGACTATTCAACTTTTTACTCAGCTTAGTTCCGTGAACTGCTTTAGTGTTCTACCAACTCTGGTTTGTCCTGCATATGTTAAATTGTGCAGTGCAATTCCATGTGGCCTTGTAGTATTTTCCATTTGAAAGCTAGTCTTGTTTCCTTGCTTACGTTTCTTTTTTTTTTCAAATAATATATAATTTTAAACTTTTACTGATTCAGGCTCATTTTTGCCTTCAGTTTCCCCTATAATTTTCATGTGCATTTTAATGACAGATATAACCAGTTTTTAATATGTGTATGTTTTTTAAAATCTTCACTACTTCAGAGCTTGCTGGCAATATTTATTATCTAGGCATGAGATACTACTTTAATGATTAACAATATATTAATATTAATATTAATATATAATAATAGAGTACAATGAGTCAAATGCTGTTCTGAGAATTTTATCAGTGTTTACTAAGTTAATCTTCATAACAACTCTGTGAAGTAGGCACCATTATTATCCCCATTTTATAGGTGAGGGAAATGAGACACTGCGAGGTTAAATGCAGCTTGCCCAAGGTCACACAGCTGATAAGTGGCAAGTCAGAATTTGCACGTAGGAAGTCTGGCTCTGGAGTCCTTTCTCCTAAACACAATGCTGTACTGCCTTCATATTCAGCTAGAAAGTTGAAGTCATTACACAACATGGAATTTTCATGTTTCTAATTGTATTCTTCTTGGATTTGGCTCATTTTACTTATTGGTTACCTATTATATCTTACCTTTAATGGGTGTAGAAGTTAAAATTAACGAACCACATCTCTTTTGAAATAGTTTGGGATTACAACCTGCTTTGGAAATTACTTTTCCCTTTCGCTCTGAATTAATAAAGTGCTGTGTTAACAAGAAAATCCATTCCACACATTCTGTGCATTTCAGTTGCTCCTTAAACTCTAGAGTGATTTATAAAGTCTCACAGAAATGTATAGCCTTGCCTGTTTTGCTTTATTTTTGACAATGAAATGAAGCTGTTCCCCAAATTATAATTCCAGCTTTCAACTTTCTTCACTGTTAGTGGAGGAAATATCTGGTAACTGGCCTGTCCCACAAAGATGGTGACTATAGTATACTGATGTTTTCTTTTCTGTGTGCAGAAGGAGACAAATTATATGCAACTGGAGGAAATAATGAAGGACAGCTGGGACTTGGTGATACCAAAGACAGAAACACTTTTCATCTAATTGGTCTTTTTACATCCCAGCATAAGGTTAAGCAGCTCTCTGCTGGATCTAACACTTCAGCTGTACTAACTGGTGAGACATTTTCCCATTTCAAAAGGGATACATCCTTTTCCTTTCGACTAGGATATAGCAACTCAGTAAAGTGAACACAGCATTGCTGTTTGGTTTTCTTTCATTGACTATGTGTTTTCAGAAGACATTTAAAGTAGAACTTTAAATCCTGACATACATTACACTTTTATACCTATTTAGAGTTACCTGTAAACATACATTTAGAAGGTAATTGTTAAATAAATTCTAAGCTGCATTGTCCATCTGCTCCTTTAGATTTTCTTAAATATTATCTTGGTGTGTGTTCTGAAAATTATACTTGCAGCTTTAATGAAGTTGCTGTCAGAAGCATCATAGAAATCTACTGGATATGTGTTATTATATAATACGGTTTGGAACAGTCATGTTATCTCTTGGCTCTCCCTGCCAAAAGCCCGTATGAGAAATTTCTTGAAAACTGGAGCCAAGATAGGCCTGAACTCAGAAGAAGTCACTGGCATGCTGCATTGTTGCAGCTGGGAGAGCTGGGTAACTTAGAGCATTACTCTGGGCTGTCAGCAGAGCCAGAGTTGGTCTGTAGCTCCATGCCCTCAGTTGTACCAACCATACAGTTAGCCCTTTGCCATCCTTCTTTTGGCTCTTACTTTCAATTTTCCTTTCATTTGCCTTGTTAGCACACATTTCAAAGATTAAACATTTTTGAATTAATGAAAAAATATAAAAATAAGTCTTGATAATTCCTTTCTAAAATATTTTTCCTAGTTTAACTTTTTCTGACATTGAAACATTTATCAAAAGGAACATAAGTTCACCTGTTTTTGAGATGCTTCATATATGCTGATTTATCTCCTTCTGCTCTGAAGCTAGATTATGTATTTTCAAGTGTAAATTATAAAAAAAAGTTACTGAAATACGTTACTTTTTTTTTCTTCCTTTAAAGCATCACTTCCACAGTGTTCTCAAGAACAAGGTCTTCTGGGGCCTTTTGACCTGGGACTTGTGCAGGAAATGTCCAGTGTGGCTCATGCTGCCATTCAGTTCAGTTGCGGGTAGACTGCTCAAAAGGAGGAAACCATTTTCTGTTTGGAGACATTAGAATAAGAAAGCTTTTTATCGGCAAAAGACATTCTGTCTTTGCTATTGAGATAGAAATACAGACATGATTTATGTCAGGTTCTTCTCAGTCCTTTATCATTATAGAAGCATTTCATAATAGAAATTGAACTCTTAAGTAGCTAGCTGGTATAAATATCTTAGCAGTACTTTTCTTTCAAGAGACATAATTTTTCTAAATTAAAGAATAAATGGTCTGTTGGAAATATAATAACTCGATAGCCCTGCTATCTCTTAAAACCTTTTTTCTTCTTTGTGTTTTCTGTATAGAGGACGGAGAGCTCTTTATGTGGGGTGAAAATTCTGAAGGACAAATTGGCTTAGAAGATATAACCAATATATCTGTTCCCCACCAAGTGACCATTGGGAAACCAATCTCCTGGATCTCCTGTGGATATTACCATTCAGCTTTTGTAACAAGTAAGACAAACCATTTTAGATTTATCATGTTATCTCCTATTTCTATGTCATTGCTAAATTAATAATAAAATGATATAACATTCTACAATTCTATAGAAGTAATACCATGGTAGTCAGTGTAATGAAGTAGTTTTGGTCTGTTTTAGCTCACAGTATTTTTCCATTTCAATAATAAGAGTTTAATATTTTAAACTGTCCAAAATGTTGATTTTTTTGGTGATATTAGGTCTATTAGAAGCACAAAATGTGTATGTTAGAAACCCTTCTCAAACTTCTTAGACTTTTTGGCATTAAAAACAAGACTGATGGTTCACTTTCCCCTGGATTCACTTGCCTCTGTACTTCAATCTATTCTACTCTTGTCCTGATAATTTGCTTTTATTGTTTTAATAAGTGAGTTATAGACTTCTGTTGCAGGAACAGAGATTAAGATTATATGGGAAAGGGAGAGAGCCCAGTATGGGATATGATCTGCTTTGGTGGGATTTTCTCAGCATCCTCAATTTTTCTTCCCTCCCTTCAACTGCAACATTTCCTACATTAATTAAAATGTTTGAAATGTTATAGCGTACATCTACACTAATACCAATAGGAGAAGTGTGATCATGGCTTTCTATCTACTGATGGTGTTTTTCGTAGTAAAATCACCTAGAGGAAATAGTTTTGTGGCCCCTCTTAGATATCTTTCTAAATCTTGTTTAATACTTTTACTCCTTATTCCATGCACCTCAGGTTCAGGTTTAGAAAGTCCTGGTTGATCCATCCCAGTGCCCGCCAGGTATACCAGTGCATTGGTAGCAGCTTGGTACCGAGAGAGGGCAACCTTTGACTTGGCTGGTATTGTTCACCAATGTATCACTTCATGTATTGAACAAACTGATGATCAGTAAATACTATCAAATGAGGGAGGGAGTAAATGAATGAAGAATTGATTGTGTTCCTTGGGGCAATACCAACTTTAGGGCTCCTGGGGTTGGTGTAGTCTGTGCTCACAGTGTCTATGAAACAAAAACAAGGGAAAAAAAACAGATGGAAGACAACTGAAACAAAAATCCCAAACAAAAGCATCATCTTATATTTGGATTTTAATAAAACTGCCAGAATCAGTTTATGATTAAACTCTGCTTTAGCCAGTAGGGGAACAATTGGAATTATTGTTCATCTTAAATCAACAGATTTTATACTGAGTTTTGTTTTGTTTTGTTATGCCTTTTAAAAAAAGTGGAAGTGAAAAGAAACAGATCTGGACTTAGTAACTTCTTTATGTGAGAGGCAAGAAGCATGAGGAGAAGGGGAAGGGTGAAGACTTAATGAGCACTTTCTGTGCCAGGGCTTGTTAAATACTTCATAGAAAACTGTGCTCAGAAAACTTTGTTTTCTGTGCAGAACAATACAGAAAATCAGTTTGTGATACTTGACCAAGTTTTAAGTGGCACATACCCTGTGTGTTGGATGTCCATGGCACATACCCTGTGTGTGTGTAAAGGGTGCAGAGCAAAAGCAACAGGAAAAAGACACGTATCCTCCAAAGGCCCAGCATACACTTCCTAGTCCTTCCTCTTCTGAGGCTGCGCAGGGCATGCTTTCTCTTTGGCAGCAAACTACAGGGATGTGTGTGTAATGTTTACCTGGGGATGCCCACTCTATTCTCAGGATCTGAGGCTTTTAAGGGTTGGGGGGGCTGGTCATGTAGGCACATCTTAATAGCAAGTAGCCTCAGCAACTGAAACTCAGGTCCCTCAACACTGAAACCAGGATTATATAATCAATGCTGATGTTTGTGCAAAGCAACCTTAACACTCAAGCAGAACACTCATTATTCCAGGTGTACATAACAAAACCATCAATCACTAATACAATGCACACTCCAAGGGCCACCTTACCAGGGCTTGGGCAAGTGGTCACTCATGGTAACCACATAAGCACCAAGACGTGCTGTGTTACCTTTTTTTCATACCATTTATGATGTGTTCTGTGTCATTCTTTAACTTAGATTACATATTTACAAAGGCCTTCAAATTCCTGCTTTACAGAACTCAGTTCAGTACATACAAATGAACACAAAAGTTTCTGCTTCAAGCTCACAGTCTTACTATAATGTAGTAAGTGTAGTAACAGAAGCAAATGATTAGTATTAGTATGGACGAAACAGTGATTAAATGTCATGAGTTCCCTGATAAGAGAGTCTTTTCTGAAGAAAATGCCACCTAACTGCTATCTTAAGACTTACTTAACATATTTACTTTACACATAAATGAGCTTCCTAAAACACATTTCACTAAAAGCAAACATTCTTATTCAGCAAGTGTTCATTCAGTGTTTAGTATACTCAACACTGTGCTAGGTTCTTAGACTACCATAGTGTGCAAGACAAAATCCATATCCTTATAGGTGCTTAATGTCTAGTCATTTTGCTTTACTAAAAGGAAGTAGAAAAAGTAAGATCATTTTTATGTTTTATGAAACAGCTAAAATAATTTCCTAGTTTTTTTTGGTAGTCATGGTTGTGACTTCTTCATGAAGATTTTGGATTAGAGTGATCAAGAGGAAAATCTAGCTTTACCTCCTTACCATATAGTAAAAATAACTCAAGAAAGGTCAACTCTATTAAATTGTCATTTTCTAAATTTTTTATTGAATATGAGAACATGCACCAAAGAGGACCAGTATTTTGTTCTTATTTTTGTCATCATTGGTCACTGTTTTTTTCTTTCAATAGCAGAGGGAGAACTGTACACATTTGGAGAACCTGAGCATGGGAAGTTAGGTCTCCCCTACGAGCTGCTGATCAATCACAGAACACCCCAGCGAGTGCCTGGAATTCCTGAGAAGGTGATCCAAGTAGCCTGTGGTGGAGAGCACACAGTTGTTCTTACAGGTACGCATGGAGCCTGTTGCTCTGTTCCAGGCCTTCCATGGTGGCTAACGAAAACATTATTTTTACACTCAACTTTTTTATTGTAATAAAATAATACTGAAAAGATAATTAACATCTGATCTACCCTCTTAACAGATTTTAAGTGTAGAATACACTATCAGTATCTACAGGCTCAGGGTTATACAGTGGATCTCTATAACTTAGCTTGCATAGCTGAAACTTTATACCTGTTAATTAGCAGCAACCCTTCCCCTCTTCCAGCTGCTGGCAACCATCATTCTAGTCTCTGCTCCTAGGAGTTTGACTATATTAGATACCTCATGCAAGGTGGCCTTGCATCTTTTTCCATTAAGATCCCCATCTTTTATTCCTGCAGTTCTGGCTTACGAAAGGAATTTTAAGTAGAAAAAATGAATTTTGCTGAATTGTTTTTGCCTACAGTTGACATTTTCATGATCTTAACACCTTTAATGGCAGCTGATGACATTGCTTTTAGCTCATTTGCAAGGACAAACTGTTTTTCTCATGTGTATATATCTAGTCTATATTTATCTAAAATTGACAGTATTTTTCCTGAAATGCCTTTTTTCTCTGTTCATGCTATTTTCTACATGTCATTGATAACTCTTTTCTTTTGTATATATGCACAATATATAATGTGATTTCTCTCTAATTTTTATATTCTATTACAGCAATTCATTAAAAAGTGTTAACATTTTAAATTATAGCTAAAAGAAAGTTAGAACCTTAATAGCAGTATCACTTTTGGCTTCTGAATTTTGTATTGGGTATAACATCATTTCTCAGGATTCTAGTCAATGTATTAAAATATACCTACTCCATGATAATGTGCTTGCTAAATTGATTCTCTCAAATTTGTTTAGAATTTGATTTATTTTATTTTAGATGTATACAGATAATGCAATTAGGGAGTAAATTATGATATTTTTTGGTCAAAAGAATTTAACAATTTCTAAAGTTATCACTAAATCTTCAGTAACCCAAAGTTAGAGATGTTCTAGACAAATTTTGAATCATATCCAATTCTCAGATGATATGTTTAATGTTGCAAGGTGATTGAGCAATATTTTATCTTTAGATTTTCCTCTTTTACATCACTTTTCCTTGACTTCTTGTTTTAGTCCCAGTCATATTTTTTAAGCTGTGGTTTCCCAGAATTGCAATTTCCAGATGAAATATTTTTCCAAGTTAGATATTTTTTTTTCAAGGCCTAAATTTGGAAATAATTCAAAGTTTAAGATTTCTTTGAATTCCTGCTGACAAGATGAATTTTCATACATTTTGAAAAAGATTTGTTCTAGGAATTGAACTTTGAAGTGTGTCTTTATAAATTATTTGAAAATTCTATAGAAATGCAACTTACTCTTTATGTGTCATATTTTCTCTAGTTTATACATTACAGAAAGAATTAATATATTAGGGGAGTGAGGGTTATTCTGAAGGACACAAATGTTGATTATATAATGGTAATGTCATTCAACTGTATAAATATTTTCCTATAAAATGAGCTCCAAGATAATCCATGATACTTTCAATTATAATTAAAATAAATGCACTTACTTAAATGTGATATTTTCTTGCACGTAAGTGTGATATTTCATATTTCTATATATTATAGAAATATATNGTTAAAAATCATGTTGCCAGAAAATGTTTTCTCTAGATTTTTGAAGACTTTGGGAATCACACAGAGCAGTAAAGTTTTTATATTTTAAGTTTTTAATATTGTAAAAAGAATATGAGGACCAACCTCCAATTTAATTTGGCTAAATTATGGACATTGCAAAAAAATGCAATGTTTTCACCATCACAAAAGAAGGAGCATTTTCAAAATAAAAATTAAAAAGCTCTTAATTTTATAATAAAAGATACCTCCTTAACTTGTGTACATTTATCTGTGTGGAAAATTCACTATTTTACCTGTTTTTCACATTTTTCCATGGAGAGCTTCATTATGATCTAGCCCTGGTGGGAAACCTATTCTAGAATGCACTGTAGACAGAAATATTAAGTATTTAGTCCTAACTGATGAAGAAATGGACCTGAAGAGTATATGGATCATCTATTTAACTAAGTACTAAATTGAATATGTAAGAGTTTTAGAATACTTTGCAAGACCTTAAAAGAAAGAATAGCTAACCGTCTGTTCCAGATCATTCACTTCACTAAAGGAAAGGGCTTGGATTAGATGATTTTGTAGGGATCCTCCCCAGCTTTGTTTTTCCTTGTGTGGGGTAAATTGTAGGATTTCCAGAATCTCCCTTCTAGCCTTTGTTCATTTACATATCAGTAGGTGTTTACAGCTTCGGCCTCCCACAGCCTTCAGGGCAAGGGGTGGAGAGATAACAGCCATTTTCTCCCACCCCTTCTCCTTTCCTGGTATGTAATTGGTCTGGCACCTGCCAGTCACCAAGGACCTGCCAATGGAGTTCCTCCTGGAAGGGGTGGGTGGGAAGGAGAGAGCACTAGGGCAGGAGAGTAGGAGTGGCTGCCAGAGGAGAGGGACAGGGCTGGGCTTAGCCACCAGATTCCAGCAAACTGTGAGCAATAAATGGTTTCTCCTAACCTACCCTTTCCCTTGACTTAGTTTGGTTTCATCGGTTTCATAGACGATACACCCCAAGCCGGGAACACCCTTACCCCCAGAGCCCTTGTTTCTATAACTCTAATCTTAAAATCTATTCGAGTATCATTTATTAAAATACTTTAAAGGTAATGTAAATTAGTTCATTGCTGATGAGTTTATTCAAAACATAATTTTTACTTGTGACTATGATAAGTTGGAAAATAACAACTACTGCTTGTAGTGATGTAGATTAGTTTCTCCTTAGACTCAGAGAAACAATGGATTGCTGCTGAGACAGTGTCAGGCTGGAACTTGGGACACACTAAGGCCCAGTGAGAGACAGAATCTTGTATGTCATCCACAGCAGTTACCCAAAGACACGAAAGTCCTGGTTATACTGTGGGGTTCACAATGAAGTCTGGATCTCAAGGAAAAATAATAATTCATATTAACTTCTCTAGATTATGCTTGGATAAACTTAAGCTCTCTACAGGGCAACAAGTTACTAGTCAAGAAATCAAATGTATTCTGTGAAATTAGAGTTTATTGATGTAAAGCCACCTAATAATATGTTTTCCAAATTTAGTATTATTTATTTACATTGAATAATGTGAATTGTTAAATATTTGTTAAATAACTGTTAAATGTTACAAAGGGGATATGACCAAAAATTAAATTAGCTGTTTTATGTTTTTTGATAAAAGAGTCTCAGGTCATTAAAAAAAATAGAAACTATTGTCATCACTAATCATCTAAGCACCTGAAAGTGAACCTAGCAGGATAAGAAACAAAACTTGACCAGCTGGAGATAAACTGTTGTTTTACCCAACATTCTGCTGTTAAGTTGAACATTCAGAACAGCAGGTACTCCATGTGGTTATGAAACAAAGAGATGGTATTTCTTACACTAAAATGAGGATCTGTTTTTGCCATTGCCTCAGTGTGACTTCATATCCTTCACACTTTGACATAGCATATTTTCATTAAGAAGTGATATCTATATGTCTTATTTATGAAGTAAACATTCTTATTAGAAAAAAATAAAAACTATATGACAATAGTTATGTGTATGTCTTATTTATAAAGTAAACATTTCTATTAGAAAAAATATAAAACTGTACAATAGACAGTTATATGTTCATAGATATCTTCCATTGTCAAAATGAGTTAATTAAATAATTACTTTTTAGAAAAATGTTCTTTACAACTCAGTGTTCTATAATGTTTTAAAATCTGTCTGAATTTTTCTCATTTAAACCTTCCAGCAACTCTATTAGATAGGGATTGTAACATCAGAGAATTTAAGTTACTTGCCTATTTGCCACAGCTAGTACTATTGAAGGCTTGGGCTCCTGCCCTAATCCAAAGTTCTTGCTCTTCCCCTGGTACCCAGAAAGACAACGTACTCAACTATGGAGAAGCAGACGAATGTCAAAAACTGTCAGAAACACTACACGACCTCACATAGCGGCGTGTCTTAAGAGGGCCCTTTGCCCACCACTCATTTATCCTGGTTTTATGCTTTTCCATTACTAGAGCATATATGAGCTAATATGTACTAAGTTATAGGAGGTCCTTTGGAGTCACTTTTAAAATAGTAATATAGACAAGCTTTTTCCTTCCTTTCATTATGGTCACATTTCCTAGTAAAGGAATTTTAACTGTGAATAAAGCTAGCATATCTATTGTAAGTTTTAATTCTCATGCAAATTCTCTTCTGCAACTGTTTTCTAAAATAGATTATTATATTAAACCACTTTTAAAAGTAAGGAGTTTTCCTGTAGAAAATACTATTCATTTTTTTATTTAAGGCAGTGAAAAGAATTAGCCTAATGACAATTGATGCTTTATAAAGAATTAAGTGGAAATTATAGGACACTTTAGGTAGTTCACTGTGTGTCTTTAACAAATGTGTCTTTAGCAATTCCTTTTATGGCTATATGTAAAAGATAAAATCAGGCCCATGCCATAATTTTTACAATTGTGTGTCTTGTCACTTTTCCTTCATCATTGAGAAATGTATACTTAAGGATTAGGTATTCTTGTATGGGTATTTCTTTCAGAGGCACTTAGCCTTCATTATAAAACATTGACTCTCACAGTTTTTCTAGCTATAATGGTGAAAGTTTCTGCTTCCCTGCAGTCCTGTTCTTGTGTCTCCCCATTGCTTTTCAGAAAAAGCCGTGTACACCTTTGGCCTGGGACAGTTTGGTCAGCTAGGTCTTGGCACTTCTGTTTTTGAAACTTCAGAACCCCAAATGATTGGCACTTTTAAGGATCAGAGAATAACTTATATTTCCTGTGGAGGAAGTCACACAGCTGTGATAGCAGGTACAGATCAGAATTTCTGTTAAATAGTTATAAAACTGGGTGTATTTTATTACAAAATAAATACTGTATGTAATGAATGTATCTAACTTAAGCAAAGGAATTAATAACTGAAAAAACAAGAATTCCTTATTTAATATGCCAACATACAAAGTTGTAAACTCCTTTTTAATATTTTAAATCAATTTAAAATAAATGTAAATGATCCAAAGATTTAGAACCTCAGAATATATCAGTGCTGTCAGAGGGAAGACCCTAGTATTCTACTTTGGCAGAAAGCTGAAATCTTTTTGAAATTATATCACTTTGGAGACTCTTAAATCTGCTTAGGCCAGAAGGAAAAATCCTACAGAAAGAATTTATTTAAAACATTCCCCCTGTTCACAATCAGACAGTGACATTCAGGCCGAGTAAATTCTTATGATGCTTTTTGCCACTAGGAGGCGTTTTCAGGAGTGACTCGTCCCTATTTCCACAGTGATAGAAAGGTATTTCAAAGACCTGGATCCTCTACAGGTCTCCCACTCTGTAGTTTCTCCCTTATCAAGGAGATGCTGCTATGGGCCTACCTCTCAACCTCAGAAACTAGGTCCTGCTAATATGGACTCAGTAAACATTCTCCCCCAAGAATGACTTACCTCTAGGTAATTGATAAATCCCACAATTTTAACAGCTTTGGAACAAAAGGCTCTATAATTTCATTATTTCTAGCCTACATTCCTATCTAAAAATGAGGTAAAGCATTAAAAAGTCAGAAATCATATAGTATTTTGAAATAACCCAGATACTATTAGTTCTGCAGTTTTTTCCTTCTTTCTGATAAAGCTACCGCTACTACGGAGCTCATCTAATGGTATCTGGTTAGGGGAAGTAGGAATCAGAAAATACAAGGTACTACTATACACTGTTCCTTCTTCTCCAAAGAACCTTTCAGAGAGCTACCTGCCCATTTTCAAGTACCGATGTCCTTGTTAATGTAGCATGAAATAGAACTATACAGAGTGTAAAGATTATTATTCACACATAGTCCCAGAAGAGTTGTTGATATGTATCCCTTACTGCAGGGTCTTAATCTCAGTATCCTTACTACCATTTTTCATAAACTTTGAATTGCCATTGATGGTAAATATTTATTATGGATCATCTGACATACAACTGGATTATTTGGTTAAGCTTTCATACCTTTCCTCCTGATAAAAGGAGTTATAGCACAAAAAATTGAGCATAAACCTCATTTGCCTTTTTGCTCATGAATCTTCCCCAGGGGACATATGAATTTTCTTCCTCCAGGTCTGATGAAAGGTGTGTAATGAGTTGTTTGTAAGTTCTTGCCAGTTCCCCATTATAGCCAGTGGCTCATGTTTTAAAAAGCTCACTGAGGTTGGAAGTGCAACCAGATAGCTTAGATAAGAGTTTATTTTTTTCTGGCTAAAGATAATGAAGTTAAAAAATGAAGCTTGAAAAGCATTCTGGTTAGTAAGAACTTTGAGTCTAAATTTGGAATCTAAACACTGTTTTTGCTTATTTATAAGGAATCTATTTATTTTTGAATAATAACTTTTATACTTGTCACTTTACTGAACTGTTATTTTCTAATCATTTTTCAGTCAGTTCTCTTGGATTTTCCTAGAATGCAATTTTTTGCCAACTTAAACTAGAAGTCCCCAAATGTGATCGTATTTCCTGCACTAAAACTGTTCATTTAGCTTATTGCCCTTAAGATAGAGTTCAAAAATTGAACTAGTAGGATCTCCTGTGATGTGGTTCCTTCTTACCTCTACAGACTCACCTCATACTATCTCCCCTTTGTGCTCCAGGCATATTGGTTGCCTTTTGGCTTCTTGACTGTAATATTTTCTCTTCATTCAGAGCGTTTATATGTACTTCGGACTTCCTGGAAGTTTCTTTGCACCCACCTTGCAGCTAAAGCCCTAATCATCCTTTAGGCTTCAGTTTGAAAGCCTTTCCCTAATCCCCAGACTAGAGAGACATCCCCCTCCTCTGCACACATACTGGCACCATTGCCTTTACTTCTGCTCCTGTGGCACTTACCCCACTTGAGATGGAAGGTGTAAAAGGGGGCTTGAGAAGAGTGGAGGTTCAGAGTAACTGCTTTAGCAGTGGGCAGAAGGGTTAGAGGGCTAACTGGAGAGAAGCAACAGGATTACTCATCATCATCATGGACCCCGCTATAGAGGGGACCCTGGTAATAGTATGGAGACTAGTCAGTATGGCTGGGGTATGGTAGTATTCCCTTCAGCAGCATTCTACACGGCCCACTTGTAGAATTAGTAGGAGAGACGGTTAGATTGATCTAAGCCAGTAGTTCTCCACGAGTGGTGATATTGTTCCCCCAGAGGACACATGGCAGTGTCAGGAGATGTTTTTGATCGTCATACCAGCAGAGGTGGGGTGTTCAATGGGCATTCAGTAGGTAGAGGTCAGGGCTGCTTTAAACACCCTGCAACACTGCCTGGGACAGACCTGCACAAGCAAGAATTATCTGGTCCCAAAGAATGGTACCAAGGTTTAAGAAATCCTGATCCAGTTAATGTCCCGGGGATGAAAGAAAACAGATATATTGGGATGTAGGGGGTCAGAATACAAACACAGCCCTCCCCTTGAGAAGGTGATATTCATTACAAGATCCCATGCTGGAGCTGCTGCTCCACACAGTGCCTCACACAACTTGGCTGCAACTTCACAAACCACCAAGCGCTCTGTGCTTTAGTCTCAGACTATCTACTGCCTGATTTTATGTGCAAAACCAAAGAGACCATAATGTGGAAACATCATCGGCTCAGAGTGAATTCAACATGGAATTTGAAGGGAAAATTAAAATTGTAATGTCAGTTAATATATTTGTCTACTTACAAATAGATCCTTACAAGTAACTCTCTTTTTTTTTTTGCATTTTAGATATGGGCATTATGTATACTTTTGGAGATGATCATCATGGAAAATTAGGGCTTGGAGTAAAGAATTTTACCAATCAGTTCATTCCCACTTTGTGCTGTAATTTTTTGAGCTTTACAGTTCGATTGGTAAGGGCATCCCATTTCCCAATTTATATTTTCACATTCTATATTTGAGTCTGTCAGTATTTCATAGAAAATTTGTACTTTTATTTTTGTATGAAAGAATATCATGGCTGTATCTAATAAATGTACTCATTTCCTAATAGCCAAATGTCACACATCATGCCACTCTGAATATCTGTCCATTCCTTCATTTTCATGCTCTAACATCTTTTTACCCTGGTCTCGACTCTTCTGCTTCATTCTCATCTGTCCCTTGAAAGCCAGGACTGTGCTGTACCTGAAAACTTTTCTGAATCTCCCATACCACCCAACAAAGTACCTTCCTGACATGAGTCATCTGTAAATATTTGTTGACTTCGTTATCACTACGACTCTCAATCCTGCACAAGACAAAGTCCAATAATAAATTAAGAGTTTTAAAAATATGTTTTCCTGGCTAAATGTTATTTGGATAAGACGGTATTGTTTCAATGTCATCCCAATCAGGTGTCGTACCTCTATTGTCTCTAACACTTCTGCCAATTAAGAACTATGGACTTGAAAATGTCGTTTACTTGGTGATGGTAATATCACTTGAAATTTGTTCTGCAGAGACTCAGTGCCTCATACTGTGGAATACTTCCATTCCTTTATTTGACAACCATTTAATGAATGCCTGCTTTGTACAAAATGCCGGACTAAGAAGGAGGGATAGAAATATACACTGACAAACAAAACAACCAAATCCTCATTTACTGAGCTAATAGTCATATGGGGAGGTTTTTAAAAGTAGTATAGAAAAAAAGAAATAATTTATAAATTTTAACCTTGAAGATATTATGAAGGAAAGGTTCAGAGTTTGTTAGTTTTATGCCACCATGTAGAACACTGTAAAGCTGGAAAATACCTGTGTATTGCAAATACTACACAATTTTTTAAAACATTTTGTTAATCAGTATTCCTCAAAATCCTTTGAGGGCTGATTTTGTTTTTCATTGTTCCATCATTGTAAATGCTTGCATTTTGCTCTAAGGGCTTTTAAGCATTAAACTTTAAAGATGTTCATGTAAAGAAAAAGGTTTAGAGACATAATTAACCCAAGAAGCTGATTTATTCTTGGGTCACTTTTGTCCAAGTAGAACTTAGAGAAGTTCTACTCTCTGAGTAATTTTTTTCAAGTTGTTAATGTTGCTTCCAGATTAAAATAACATTTGCAGATGTTTAAGGAGAAATATAATGTGCCAAATTTTTTTCTCTATACTATATTAAATTGAAAGTAAAATGGTGTGTTAAATTTGTTCTAATTTTCAACTATCGTATTTAAAGAATATGTATTTTGTAATTCATATATATATAGAGAGACAGTATGTCAGTGTCAGTGTAGGAAATCTACTACTAAGTAAATGTTTTGTAGCTGAACACTTAAAAACCCATTTGTGTTTGAAGCCAATATTGATGAATTTATCTGTGGATTTATACTGCAGGTGTCTTGTGGTGGATGTCACATGCTAGTTTTTGCCACTCCACGACTTGGTGTGGCAGAAGAAGTTGAGTTAGAGAAAAGAAGCGAATCTTGCTTCTCTGCAATGGCTTCTCTATCCATCAGTGATCAGCCCTCAGGAAATGTACTGCATAGAACTTTATCAGCACGTATGCGACGAAGAGAGAGGGTACACTTGTGGCCTATTCTGTTTAATAGTATTGTCTACCACTGCAAAGAAAAGTAGGGAAAAAATTCACTTCTTTTTAAATCAAAGAGGGGTCTTTTCAGATAAATTATTTTAATGTTTAGAGTTGAGGGCTTACAATCTTAAAGCAAAGTCAGAGTTAGCTGTTAAGCATAAGCACAAAAATCAGAAAATTCAAATTATCACAGATAACCTTTGCTTATATATAGTGGATACAAAGCAAGTATATAGAGCATCCTTTTATAGGCCTATCTTACCACCTCAGATTGAATGCTGAATTGTTTTCTCAACTGTATGTAGACTGACTTCTGCTTTGCTTTCTCTCTAACTCTCTAACTCTCACTCTAAACAAAATGAAACATGGAAAACAAATAAGTAGGGAGTTTAGTTTGAGAGAGGGAATATTATTTCTCAATTAAATTTAAAGATTTCATTCTGTGAAATTATTTCAATGATACAATTTTTTAAATGCCAAGCAATTTTTAAAGGAGGCATTTCTTCTATATAAAATTACTTTTAAGTTCTAAAATGTACTCCTTGAGAAGTAAAAAGGTTAAGTTTGACTTCTTATTATGAAAAGTATATATGCAAAAAATGAGAAATATCCCACTGTGTGGTTGTTTGTTTATGTCTCACGAGTAATTTTTTGTTTCTCAAGGAAGGCAGAGAAAACACATACACTTTTCCCCATCATATGAAAAACAGGCTTCCAAATTGACAATTTAGAGCAACTTAGATTCGGAGACAACAGAACATTTTTGAGTCCTTCGGGATTATTAAAAAGTGAATGTTGTGGTATGTTGCCCAGTTCTGAAGTCTCTCTCTCAAATATGCTTAGTAACTGGAGGGTAGTTTATGTCAATATTAAATATATAACATCATCTAACATTTGATTCAACCTGTTTATTTTAAAGGAGAAATCGCCAGATTCTATTCAAATGACACGAATGCTACTTCCTCCCAAACAACCTGTTGGTTTTCCCCCCAGTTCAGTTCCTTCCCCTATGTCTACAAGTATTCTGCCAGAGGAAATGATATCTGAAAAGAAGGGTCCCATGCAGCCAACAGAGCCAGGTACCTTCCCATACTCTGCCTGCTCTCAGGAGAAATATACATTTTATTTCTGTTGTTTTTATGTTTATCTTAAGTGTTATTTGGATAAGATGAATAAAATATCTTAAGATGTTCTCCAATTAATTAAATTGTTCCCTTCCTAGTTTAAGACTGACATCTCTCATTTGAACCCAAATCTAGTAATACTTACAAACAGAAAGCATCATCAGTGACCCTAAAAACGCACGTAACAGCAGCACATCTTTTTTTTTTATCAAATGTGCATCACAGTGTTTCAGCAGTCCCCCACCACCACCTCCCCCTGCCCCTACCCACTCCCCTCTGCCTTGGTAACCACTTGTCACCTCTCAGTGTCTCTGAGTCTAATCCTGTTCTGTTCCTTCTGTTTTGCTTGATTTTTATATTCTACAAATTAGTGAAATCATATGGTATCTGTCTCTCCGCCTGGCTTATTCCACTGAGCATAATACCCTCTAGATCCATCTATGTTGTTGCAAATGGCAGGATTTCTTTTCTTTTTATGCTGAATAATATATATTACATTGTCTGTATGTGCCACCTCTTTATCCATCCATCTGTTGATGGGCGCTTAGGTTGCTTCCATATCTTGGCTATTGCAAATAGTGTGGCAATAAACATAGGGGTGCATATATCTTTTCAAATCAGGGATTTTGTTTTCTTCAGGTAAATTCCTAGGAGTGGAATTACTGAGTCAAATGGTACTTCTGTTTTTTAGTTTTTTGAGGAACCTCCATTCTGCTTTCCACAGCAGTTGCACCAGTTTACATTCCTACCAACAGTGTAGGAGAGTGTCCATTTCTGTGTTGCCAGTCAGCAGAATAACTTTATAGAGCAGTGTATAGGCTACATGGTATCTTCTCTTACATTACATCCTTTAAACCCTGAAGCAACTCCATGAAATAAGTGGGAGTTATAAATTCAGTTTTATAGATGAAAAAAGCAAGCCTTGAAGAGATTGAGTGACCTGTCCAAGGCCACTCAGCTTATAAATGAAGTGAACAGGATTTGAGTGGAGGTCTTTTGGACCTTTGCGCAGTTCTGCACTTAGGTAGTATAATGTAATGGATAAGAGCATGGGGGATGGAGTTAAATTGATTTGGTGTCAGATGCCAGCTCTGACATTTATTAACTGTGTGAGTGACTTTGGGAAAGTTACTCAGTTTCTCTAAGCCTGTTTCCCTGTCTTTGAAATGAGTTTAATAATACTTACTTTAGAGAGTAATTGTGACAATTAAGTGTGATGAGGCATATAAAGTACTTAGCATTGAGCTTAGCACCTCTAGAAGCCCCTTAATAAACATAGGCATGGTTATTATTAATACCTCTACCTCACTGCCTATCAGATAAAGATTTCATGTTTTAAATCATAACCCCAGCTCTTTAGCTGTTATGCACCTTTTCTAAATAATATTGTTTATAGATATTTGTGTATTTTAGGGTTATGTATATGTTGTTACAGAGTATGTGCTTGGATGATAGGGGCAGGACAAGAAGCCAGGGCCAGACAGAGTAAGCAGAATTAAGATTTGGAATTAAGATAATCTGGACATCTGGCATTAAGAACCATGGCACAGATAATTTTTAGTGTCTTTGAGATCAGGAACCTAGGCAAAAAGCTGAGGTGATGAAAGATCACAACTCAAGCAAGAATTGTGGGCCAATGGAATGGAATATTATCTACTACTAGGACCTTAATAATGGCCAGTTTTCTGCATCTCACCCACAACTTTTGTATGTTTCCTTTTGAGATAAGAATCACTGGCACTCTTCAGCCTTGTACACAGCAAAAATACGTTCTCAAAATAGTGTGTACAAGGAAAAAAGAAGTGTATGGTCTGGAGGAAGGTTTTTTCCACTTCAAGAGATTTGAATGTGAAGATATACATAATTTTGTAGCTAGATCTTATCTACAAAGGAAGGGCCATCTCTTAGCTTTTTGTTACTATTTGCTAAAACTGTCTTAATAAAAAGTATTCTGAAAGTTCTATCCAACATATAATGCAACTTCTTCTAAAATTATTTGCAGACTTCACTGTTTATCATGAAGTGATAGAGGTCAGAGAAGACCTTGCTGAGGATGTGGCATTTAAACTAAAACATGAGATATAAGAAAGAGCCACCACACAGAAAGAGAGGATATATGCATTGCAGGCAAATAAAATACTATAGGCAAAAGTTTGGAGACATTTTATAAAGGAAGAAAACCACCGAGGCTAGGGATGAAGAAAAAAGCAGGACAGGATCATGTTGAAGAGACAGTGAAAATTGTTCATGGTTTTATAGGCCATGAGAAGCCTATGTAAATTGAGTGTTTTCTTAAGTACAATAGAAAATCATTAAAGGGTTTTAAACAGTGGAGTGATGTATTCCAATCCAACTTACATTTTAAAATGATCACTTTTGCCTCTGTGGATTGTAGGGAGGCCAGACTAGAGGTAAGAATACTTAGGAAACTTTTTCAAGAGATAATGACAGTGTATGGACCAATGTTTGCAGTGGAGATGGAGAGAAAGGAGCAGATTTGGAATACATTTTAGACATAGAACCAACGAAACTTGCTAAACTTGTTTATGGATTACACACAGATGTGAAGGAAAGGGAAGAATCAAGGATGATTCCTAGGCAGAAGAATGATTGACAAATTTGAGGGGAAAATTAACAATTGAGCTTGAGATAACTCTGAGACGTCTACATAGAATTATCAAGCAGGCATTTGAAAATGCAAGCCTGAAATTCAGAATAGACAGCTAGATCAGAGGTAGAAATTTGGAAACCATCAACGTTGACATGTTATTTATAATCCATGGAAGTGGTAAAAATCACCTATTAGAGAATAAAGTAGAAAGAGAAGAGACCCCAGGTTTTAGCCCTGAAAACATCTAACATTTAGAAGGTCAAGGAGGAAGACCCAGCAAAGCAACCCTTCTAAGCCTCATCTGCCAGCAGGGTAGAAGGAGGGAATATAGGCGAGAGTATGGTCATGAATTCAAAGTACTGCTCAAAGGTCAGTGAAAAGCTCAAAGAAGTATCCCATGGATCTGACATCATGGAGATTACTGGTGATCTCGACAAGAGTAGTATCAGGAGAAGATCAAGGCAGAACCAGAGTGTTAAGTTGAGGCATGAATGGGAAATGAGGAAATGAGAAGATCTGGTGTATAGATATTCTCTTAAATGTTTTGGTCATGGAGAGGAGCAGATAAATATTTCAGTGGGAAATATTAGAGCATATTTGTATGCTAATGGATGTGAGCTAGTAGCTCTGAAGGGATTTGGTAGGACATGCAAGAGAGGGTGTAACCAAAGGTACAAAGCTCTTGAGAAGACAAAGGGGCTGGCATACAGAACAGTCTCTGGTAAGAGGAAAGATACATCCTACATTTTAATAGAAAAATATAGATAAATGTGTACATTTGGTGAGAAGATAAAGCAGATCAGGTCTGATGATTTCTATTTTCTCAGTCAAGTATAAAGCAAGGCCATGAGCTTAAATGACCTACTGTCTATTTTCCAAACCCCCATTCTCTGCCATGTCTAATCTGTCCTGCTTAAGTAAGCACTTTCTACCTTAATCTCCTTAAGTGCAGTTCAGTTGCCGTCTGTTCCAGTGTCTTTGGAGGATGCCTAATATTTTTGAAAATAAGTATATATTCCCCCCATATAACTCCCATCTGCTTTTTTAGCTTCATCTCTCAATAGTCTTTTTCCTTTAACCCGAATGTTAGGTCACAAATCTGCAAACCATGGCCCATGTGCCAAATCTAGCCACCTGCCTGTTTCCATAGTTTTATTGGAATCCAGTCATGCCCATCCATTCCTTTATGTGTTGTCTATGGCTACCTTCACATTACAGTTGTAGTTTGAGTAGTTAGGACAGAGACTGTAAGTACAGAAAGCCTTAAATGTTTACTATGGCCTTTTACAAAAAAAGTTTGCCAATCCCTGATTTTGATCAAACTGAGCTCTTCACAGACTTAGTGAAAAGGCTATGAAGTCAAGACAGACCTGAGATTGACACTTGATGCCTAAAGGTCACTGAACCTTAATTTATTTTTTGTGAAGTAGGGCTATGATGTACCTCTCTTGTTTTCATGAGGTTAACCCAACATGTATAAAAGCATATGTTCCCAGCACATGGTAAGCCTTCAATGCAAGCCATTCTGTTGTTTCTGTTAGCACTGCGCTTCATTTTCTTCCCTAGCTAGCTCCATCTCTGCCTCTCAGAATTCTACTCATCCTTCCCTGAACCCCCTTAGTGAAATGTGCCCTGATGCCCAACATTCAGATAAGCTTTCTTATCTCCCTATATCAGATATTCTATATTCCCTTCTAGATTACAAGTTCATTAAGAATTAGCAGTTATTTAAGTTGATATCTCTTACATGTTACCTCACATGGAATGGATACCTGATTATATGCTTATTTGAATTGAATTTACAAGGGATGGAATGGTGGGGACTGATGTTTTTAGCAAAGACTTCTTTGAGGAGCTCTGCTCAAATATACGGGTGCTAAGTGGAGGTGTAGTAATTGAGAAAAGTGTAAAGTCAAATAGAGCTTATAACTTAATCGTCTGCTTTATGATGTAATAACCTTGCAGTTTTCCATGGAAATTTCTAGGTGCTTGTACTAGTTACCTGTTGCTACATAACAAATGACCCTAAAACTTCCCAGGTTAAAACCACAAACATTTTTTGTTTCATACAGTGTTTGAGGGTCAAGCATCCAGGAGCAGTCTAGTTAGTGGTTCTAGCTCAGGGTGTTTCAGCAGTTGCAGACATGCTGTCAGATGGGGCTGCAGTCATCTGAAGGCTCAGCTGGAGCTGGAGGCTCCTCTTCCATACCCATTCATGGCCATTGGCAGGAGGCTTCACTTCCTTGGCCCATGGGCTTCTCCCTAGGGATGCACACAACATGGCTTCTCACAGAGCAAGTGATCCAAGAGAGTGTGTAGGATCAAGACATAAGCCACAATGATATCACAATTATATCTGCTTTATTTATTGGCCCTACAGACCAACCTGGTAAAATGTGTGAGAGAACTACACAAGGATATGTGTACCAGGAAGATGTGGGTCACTGCCACCCTGTTTGGGGACTGGCTGTCACAGTGCTTGATACTTGGGTAGTATTTACCCCAAAGGATAGCATTTACCTGTTTGTATAAAGCAGTTGTTATTTCATCAGTGTCACAGTCTTTAAATTTTCAAAAGGAGATTTTAAAACCCGTTATCACTGTGAATCAATTCCCTTAACATAAGGCTAAAGGCCTTTAGTAAAATTATACCGGCACTTTATATTACAGAATAATTTCTGTTTATTGTCCTGTTGCCTTTCAATTTTCCATTGAAATCTGGTTTACTCCTTTCCCTTCTATCAGGTTATTTTCAAGATAAAATTATCAAAGGGAAAGAGACAGACAATTATTCAACAGCAGATTCAGAAAGCCTTGGAGAAACTACTGACATCTTAAATATGGTAATGGTTTTCTAATTTACCTATCTAGATACAAGTTTGAATTTTATTTCATCATGCATTTCTGTGTGTACTTCCTATACTGTTATATGCATTAAAAAAGCTCTTTTTGTTTTTGTTTTTGTTTCATTTTGTTTTGCTATTTTTAAATCAGCTTTATTGAGGTATAGGTTACATACAATAAAATTCATTTGGATCATCATTAATATATAATTGAGAGTTGATTATATTACTGTGCACTGTCTTGTATTAATTTTATTTATGTATGCATTTTTAGAATTTTTAGAATATATATATACATAATCATGTATATTGTCTTTTATTCTTTTTAGAACATATACTTGTTTTATTTTTTTCAGACACATGTTATGAGCCTGAATTCCAAAGACAAGTCATTAAAATTATCACCAATTCAAAAACAAAAGGTATACTATAGAAAGTTATTTTCATTATGATGGGGAAGAACAGTTAAAAATCTTTTTTTGAAAGGTTTCTGGAAAGAAAACGTGAAAGATAAGCATTCACTTATTTTAGAATTCAGAAGACAGAGGGATAGGATACATTGTAGATAACCTCATTTGTGACTTCTCTGCTGGTATGTATTTTCTATGATGCAACAGAAGTGACAGAATTTCATTGCTGAAATTTTCTCTTTGGAGGCACTAACAAGTCATAATAGCTGTGCTTTCTTACCATCAGGGAAAAAGATCATTAGTAGTTCTTAAGTATTGGAAGAGGCTAGCATTCATTAGAGCCTTTGGTTGAGTATGACTTCGGGTGAGTTACTCTGCTGACCTCACAGGATGTTAGATGTTATTAACATCTTTCCTAGCTCTGAAATTCTGTGGTTTTAGTGAAAATATTTGATAACTGCTTTTCCAATGTCTGGAATAGGATTTAACTTATCAAGGAAATGGTAGCATAAAAACAAGATGAAACATTTGGAAATTAGTTAGAAACTGTGCATGGGTTATAAGAGTCCTTTAATGATTAACAAATGAGCAGCCAGAGGAAGGAATAGTCTGGTATTTATAACTCTGGAGAGAAAAAGGACTGACCTACCAAGTCTCCTTTAGTGAATGAAAAAAGATTATAGTATTTCCATGTATTAATTTTAAACTTGTACTGTTTTAATAATTTCTCTAGCAAAAAATGATCTCTTTGTAGGCCTAGGACTCATCACAGTTTATAAAACTAGATTTAGTGAGGCTTTGCTGTCCAGAGACCCAAATTCATTGAATATTTCAGTCCATTAGCTTGTAGAATATAGGTCAACATTTTGATTTCTGCCTTATTTTGTCTGGCAGGAAATCAATTTCCTATGCTTAATGTATCATTCAAACCTTAATGTTTAATTTCAGTTTTTATAAATCTTAGATTTTACCTTCAGTATTTTTTCCTCTTGGTGGTTTTTTAAATGTACACTAACTATTATAGTTAAAGAATGTAATAGGTAAAAGGGAGAGGGTCAAAAATTTGAAAACTCAAAAGATTTTGTTTTGAAAGGAAAAACATATTCATTATTATTTAATGATAAAAAGATTTCATTCGTACTTTTTATTTCTGATTTTTTCTTCAAAAATTAAGCTATTTATCTTTTCCAATTCCTAAAAAATTTCACATTTTCATTTATTTTCTTTCATTTTGTAAGTTTCACAGACTCAAAGGACCAATCAAAATTTAACAATTAAAATAATAGGGAACATAGAAAAAGTTGAACTGCACAGCATGCAAGAGAAGTAGACATTTTCAGCAGTATTTTGAAAAATCAGTTTGGAAATGTATTATATTTAAGAATTGGTTCAGATTAAGAAAAGGGGAAGAGAATAAAAATTGATAGTAAAACAGGTAGTAAGAATTTGAAAGGTAAATACAAGTATATGTTACTAAATCAAAATTAGATGTACCATACACTTAGAGAGTGGCACACATTATCCCTAAAGAAAATAAAATCTGAGCAAAATGTCTGGTAAAGCTGGACATTTTTATTGTCCTAGTTACACTTACCATGCAAAGTGTTGACAGTATTTTGTAGTAGATAAGTTACCTTTGTCAGATGCTAGTAGTATGACGATTGCTTCAAAAAATTTACAGAAACGAAAAACAGTTAAGAAACTGAAGCAGCACACAGCTCATACTGAAAATGACGATAGTAGTGACTATGCAAGTGAAGAGATGTCCCAAAAAAGGAAAGAAGGGAAAACATATAAACAGGTTTTGGCAAAAAGAATACACATGATACCACCAGCTCTGACTATGGAAGCATTTGTATATGAGGGCATAAGTAGTGACTCAGAGCAGCCTGGGCTGCAGGCCACTGCTGATACAAAGCATTTGCAAAAAGAGATATTTAGATATAAAATTACATGCAGTATTTATCTACCTGATGCTAAAGAAATAGAAAGGGAAAGGGATGGTGAACACAGTCAGAAGGATTCAAAAGCAGAAGATACAGTCTCTGAGAAGGTCACTGAGCTGGCGGCAATGGCAGGTCTGAAGGACATACAAGAAAGTGAAGCAAATATAAGAAAGATTTATACATTCTTTGATGACTTACCAAATAGAGACATGAATATTGAAGATGAAGAGAACAAATATATTCTTAAGGAAAGTAAAAGGAACAAACAATGTGAGACCTTTAACAATGAAAAAGACTCTATAGAAGAGCCAGACAATTACTTGAAAGGTGAAAGTCCAAGTCAGCAGGATACAGCTGACTGCTCCGAAGAGCTTGAGTCAGTAGAGTTTAGTAGTGGAGATACTGAGGACGATGAAGTAGAAAATGAGCAAATCTCGTGGTATACCAGAAAATATATTGAAGAAAGACAGTGGGAAGATAATGAACACAAAGTATCCAAATTCTTGGCAAAATACGATTTTAAGTGTGACCAGTTGTCAGTGATTCAAGAGGAGGAGACAGGAGTGAATTCAGATGGCAGTCAAACAGAGAAGCAAGAAATAGAGGCAAGTGAGGAAAATGTGGAGGCATCTGGAGGAAAGGAAGATGAGGAAGCAGAGATCCTATCAGCTGGCCTTACAGACAGAGCAGAGGTGAGTGAAGGCAAGGGGAAGTCAGGCAGAGAGGCAGAGTGTGTGCCCAAAGGCGGAGGTAAGGGAATCGGGAAGGAGGGTGCCTCAGGAGTGGGATGGAGGCAGAGTGAGTGGGAGGAGGAGGAGAAAGACAAGGGAGGAGGAGAAATGGCGATCCCGGGTATGGGAGAGAAAGACCTAGAAGAAGAGGAAGAACAGGAGCAAAAGGAGAGAGAACAAGGCTGTCAGGAGGAAAGAAACAAAGGGGTGGTGAAAGGGGAAAGGGAGGAACAAGGAGAGGAGGGTGGAAGCGGAGGGGAGGAGGGGGAAGAAGAGGAAGGAGACAGGGAAGAGGAAGAAGAAGAAAAAGAGGAAGGGGAAGAAGAAGGAGAGGGGGAAGGAGAGAAAGAGGGAGAGAGGGAAAAGGAGGAAGGGGAGGAGAAAGAATGGACAGAGGAGGAGGGAGAGGAGGAAGAAACAGAAGGGGAAGGGGTGGAAGGAGATGGGGAAGGAGAGGAAGAGGAAGGGGAGGAAGGGGAGGAAGAGGAGGAGGAGGAAGAGGAGGAGGAGGAAGGAGAGGAAAGAGAAGAAGGAGAGGAGGAAGGTGGGGAGGAAGGAGAGGTAGAAGGGGAGGAGGGAGAGGAGGAAGAAGAAGAGGAAGGAGAAGGAAAGGAGGGGGAGGAAGGAGAGGGGAAAGTGAGGGAGAGGGAAGAGGAAGAAAACAGGAGGCGAGGAATAGTGGAAGAGGAAGAAGGGGAAGACAATGAGGAAGAGGAGGGGAAATATCAGGAGGCAGGTGATGAAGAATTTGAAAGGCAGGTAAGACCAGGTGAAGGAAGAGAGTCCAACAAAGTGAGCCAAATCAAAGGATTTGTGAAATATAACGAAGATAAAACATATCCAAAAAAGTTTATTACTAACACAGAGGGAAAAGAGAAAGATCGTAAAGTACAGAGGTTCAAAATACCAGTGCAGTCAAAACAATGTTTAGAAAACGGGCCTCCAGGTTCCAACAAATTCTGGAATAACGTATTACCGCATTATTTGGAATTGAAGTAACAAACTTTAAATTTGACCTGATTATGCCCAGCCAAACAATTTGGATGCCGTACACATAATAGGCACTCAGTGCATTTTATTAAATTGATTTGATGTCATGGTTACTTTATACATGGTATAATAAACGGTACAATAATGACTGATAAAAACAACATGAGGCACTGGTAAATTTTGGCTTCTCTTAAACTAATATTTTGGTGTATTTTCCCAAAATTATAAATCGATAATTAGAAAGTATCAAAATACCAAAAGGTCATAGATTATATTATATGTTCCTCATTAAAGACAGCTTTAGGAAATGAGTATTCCGTTAGAGTATTTACTTTGTGTATAAAAATCAGTCCCTTTGAAAATGGCACAAATCTTTACAGGCTCTAAAAATGTCTTAGTTTCTTATATGTATGTTAGCACAATTTCTTTCAGTCTTTGATTACAACTTGCCTACCACATAGGATAATTTTATAAGCATGAATGATACTCTAAAGTTAAAATGAGCCATTCCCGTTTACAAAACAGTGCTTTTTACCTTGTATGTGTCCTTTTTGTAACAATCTACCAATTGGCAGCTGGGTTCAGAGCTTAGATTCTAATAATGTGATCTCTTTTAGTTACTGTCTAGGCAAATGACAGTATATCTAATGAAATGGAGATTGATTTGTGCATATATTCTAGAAGTATCTAAAACTTTTAAGTATTTATTAGCCAAACAAAGCTACTCATTGAGCCTCAGTTTCCTCATCTGTAAAATGGAGTGGATTAGATTATAAGTATAGTTCCTTCTAACTCTTACAGTCTGTCATTCTAATAGGTTGACATACTCACTCATGTTTGTTATTTGCATAAAATTTTTAAGGAAGAAAAATTAGACTTTACAATTAAATTAGTCTTCTGTATTGTTATTTACTCTTAAAAAGTTATGACAGGTTGAATGTCTCTTATCTTCTGTAACTCTGTATTTCTCAACTCCTATAATTTCTGAGTTTTAACTGTACTATCCAAACCTTCATTTCCGGTGTCTATTATGTACCCTGCATGTATTCTTTATTGACTGTTCTGTAATTCTCAGTTTGTCTGTTGGTTGTCAGAATATTTCAAGTAAAATAAAAATTAATTGTGTGCACTCAGTGATTGTTTGTGAAAAGAGAAACTAATGTTAGACACTGATTTCTAGAGAGGCTAGATTTCTACTAGAGTAATTTCAATCTTCCTTTAAAATTTTCAGTGTATATAATACAGCTAGATTGATTGCTGGTTATTCCCCGTACCCTTTCCAACTGATTTCCTTCCCCAGTCTCTTCTATATCTTGGACATGAGGGATTTCTTATACTTCCTTTCATCAAGGAAGATTTTAATGGATAAACTTCCTATGAATTTTGTGTAGTTGAATTCTTTGCATATTTGATTCTCCATGAATGAGCAAGAATATGAGGACAAAGGCAATGAATATGAAGTGAGGAAACTCCTAGAAGCAATTGTATATTTTGCCTTAGCTGGAAGGATCTCTGGTAGCTTCCCATAACTAACAAATACTCTGGATTGCTTCGCATTGCAGCATTCTACTTTACTGTTACTAGAATAAAATTGAGACTTTGATAAAATATAAGTGCTATGCTGTTAATTCTAGTGTTAAACATGGTTTTTTAAAAGGTAGAATTAAAATGTTTAAATAAGATGGATGATAGAAGTGGAGTTCTTACACCAAAAAGCCTTCAGGGAGATGAGAAACTCTTAAACTCAAGTTATTAATGTTAAAAATATGGATGGCCATTGTTCCACCAAAGAGATAATCAGCCAGCAATACTGAAATGATGTTCTTAAAATATGCCCGTCTCAGTATTTGAACTGGTCTAGATAACCACTTTGAAGCAGCATTTCTTACCATTTCTTCACATTTCCCTGGCCAAAAACATTTTCGTGCCCTTTTAGAAGTGGTAGTTCATATATAGGATAGTGTCTGGTCAAAAAAGCACAGGCCTAGTCATTGTGAGACCTGAATTAATACTTGGTTAAGTAAACTGGAATAACTGGTTCCTTTTTTATTGTCCCCATCTGCTGGTTGATGAAGCTTTACTGTAGTTTATCACTGACCATTACTGAGGCCAGTGTGAGTTGTGTATGTAGAATCCATTGAGTTACAGTTTCAAATGAGAACTCCGGCAGAAAAATACCTTAAGGTAAGCTGCAGAGGGTACCACAGAAGCAACTACTGCTGCTGAATAGCAGCACTCTAGGTGAGTGTGATTAAAATGTTGTATTATTTCTCCATAAAGTTGCTGTATGCATATATTTTAAAAATAAAATGGAGGAAGGTATTGTAACTCCTTCCTTCATCATTTCTATTGTGAAAATAAAATGTGATATTATATGCCCAGTACCTGAGACATAAGTTAATATTTGATATATATTATTCATTCAACAAATTATCATATACCAAGCAGCAAAAAAAGAACAGAAGCCTCCCCAAATCAGGAAGGTCTCAAATAATGAGAGCTTCTCACAGTCACCTTCCTATGGCCCTCTTATCTATCCAGAATGTTAGGTGGGTATAGATTTCTTGAAGGGACACCAGGGGAAAGGAGTTCCTGGGGCTCTGCCATAACCATTGTGTGACGATCGTCTTGTGCTTCCTGACACTCCCACGGGCTTAGCCAGGACTGCCCAAAGATGAAAATCTGATCGGAAAACAAATCTATGGCTTTCCTCCATTAAATCCCTTAATTAATTAGAAGAAAATGTTTTTGTGCCTTGGGTATGCAGAGAGTAAGATATGGCTCCTGATCTCAAGGAACTATTGGCTGTTCCTAGAGGCGGACCAGAAGGTTTGCCAGTACACTAGTGCTTCAGGAGTGGCACTTCAGCTGCCACAGAGAACCGTTAGGAAAGGGTTTCCCAGGAGTGATGGTGAAGGTGAGCTGAGTCATGCAAAGTAAAACCTAACCAGGCCCAGAAGGGAGTCAGGGATTTCCAGGCTGATGGGAGCCATGAGAGCTTCAGTGTGACTGCAGCCTGGAGTGTCCTTTGGTCATGGGTAGAGAGGCAACAAGCTTTATGTGTTTGGAAGGTGTTAAACCAGTAAGATGATCTTGGGCTTTCATAGCTTCATTCTGGCAGCAATACAGAGGGTGGGCTAGAAGAGAATGGGACTCTCGGGCGTACAGTTAGGAGGCCGTTAGAGTAAACCAAGAGGAGACTGAAGGGCAGCAGGACTAGGACAGTGGGGATGGAGAGTTGGGGATGTGTATTATCACAAGAAATTTAGGGATAGAATTGGAAGACAGTAGAGATGTAGCTGGGAGGGAAAAGGTCAAGCTTTTCTTCCTTCTGGTGTGGAATACTGGACAGACAGTGTGCCATTCACCAAGGCTGAGAACAGAGGAGCCAGAGCAGGTTTGGGAGATTGCTTGGGGCTTGTTGATCTAGGACATGTTTATCAGGTCTGGGTCTGAAGTTTGGGGGATTGCTGAGTATCACTGGCTTATATATGTACTTAAAACAGTGAAGTTGAGTGAGAGGTGGTGTTCATAGTAGGAAAAGAGAATTGAAGACAAAATTCAGGGAGACATCACTAGGTAAGGAGAGGTTGAGAAAAGGGAAGTCTAAGAAGGAGGTGGAGTGCCACTTGGGCCAAGGAAGAAGGAGCAACAGAGGGCTGCAGAGGTCCTGGGAGGTCCAGCAGAGAACCAGGCAGAGCCTGCATTGCCAGTCAAGAGTAAGCTCCAAGAAGTCTGCTTCCCAGAGAATCAGAACTGATCTTTGAAAAATAAATGTCAGACACAGGGCATGACTGGTGTATTTCTCAATTTAGGAAAGGAGATGTATATTCTAGAGACTCTGGTGCTCTGGGGAAAAAATCTAAAAATTTTATTTGCTATTACTATATGCAGTGGTACATAAGTACAGGATATTATTGGAGTGAGCTTATAAACAAAAAAGGAGTCTACAATGCTTTAAATATCAGTGAAGGGTGGGGGTAACAACTTTGAGGGCAGCCATTATGGTGTCCAAATTATTGGGTCACAGTTGGAAAAATGCATGGGCTCTGGAGTCCATTAGACCTGAACTGGTCCCAAATTCCAGCCCTTTACTGATTAGCTCTGTGGATTCCTGGTATATATATATCTTTCTGAGTCTTTTTTCTTTTATAAAGGAGTGAGGGGGGAGGTCTTTTGATAATTAAATTACTTAACACATGAATATGTTAGGGGTACTCAGAAAATGTTAACCTGTATTACTATAATTATCCCTCTGATGACATGAAGTGAGGTGCCAAACTACCTGCATGAATCTCCCAAGTCACTGATTTACATGGGTTTAGTCCTGTGAACCTGACTTGTTTACACACAATATGGCAATCCACCACTACCCCACCACCACCGCCCAGAAAACTGGCTTTTGGAAATAGATCTGTGGGAATGAAATAGATTACAATAACGATAACCCTTAAATATGGGATAGAGTGAAACTCTACTTAACACACCCTACATGAGTCAAATACTGCCCCTCCATGTTTGAAGCATAAAGGAAGGCTGGTTGCATTCAGAAGGTTAGCCTGCAATTCAGATGTTAGTGCTGTCATGGGACAACAGATTTCCCTGTGTCCTAATGTTTTTGTCAAAATAGATTAAAAAATAATTCACACATAAAGTATAGTTATGGATTGTGCATTTGTTTGAGGTACAAAAGAAAAACAAATTTTCTAAGGAAAAAGGAGGGAAATAGTAAGGAGTAAAACTGAAAATGAGCAAAAGATGTTTTGTACCCTGAAGATAACATTCATTTTGCAGGCCTGCTTGTCAGAGTCAAACTGAATGTATCTGGTGGTGAAAATACAAGATTAGGAATGAAGTAAGGGATTGGCACACAGAAGGAAGTGTTTGGAGATCGTAGTGTTATTAGAAGCCAAGACTTTGGTGGTCACCACTGGCAGCCTATGTAATCTGGCCTGCAGGCTTATTTTGTTATACATGGTGGTTTTTTAAATATTTGAATCTGTTACCAACATTGAAGTAACAGGAGATTTTACTTTGAAAACATGTTTTTCATACTTCTCTTGGAAAGCCTGAGGGTCTGGAAGCATCGTGCCCTGTGGCAACACCAGCCTGCAGCCCAGCCAAGTCACCTTTCTACTTCCCTGCTGTCCTGGGGCTGTTCCTGACATGCATCCCACCTTCTTCCCCGCCTGCACTAGGTGCTGGACTTCAGGCAGAACATAAATGGATGCATTCAAGAGCATAGAACACATAAGTCAGCACTTTAATTGAACCATTATCTAGTGATAAAATCTTGGACATTATGGCCAAAGTGTCCAAGCTTCTTGTTTCTTTGACAGTCCTAAATGCACAGGAGGCATTCTATCTTACTTGTTATGGAAGAGCCTTTACAAAATCACTTATATGTATATACAAATACTTATTATTTGTTCATGTTACTTTCTCTGAAAATAATCTTTCCAATCTTGGTACAAACCCTCCAATGTAGGGGTTCCTAATGTCATTTTCCCATTTTACAGATAAAGTATGTTAATTAGGCACCTTGCTCAGGCTGTGAATGATGGAGCAAGGTTTGGAAAGCAGTGCTTGAGTCCTTGTATTTAATGTCCTTTCTACTCTCTACTCCTGCCTCAGCGACTTCCAGTGTAGTTAAAATATGAACTTACATGTTAACTCCTCTTGTCCTAAAAAACCTTGAAATTGAGATTTTAAAATATATAGTTTCCCACCAGATAGAGGCTTATGCTTTATTAACCTATTTGGAAAACATTCTTACCCTATGTGACATTGACGGATGTCATAAATCCAGAATTGTAGCATAAAATGTTCCTTTGTAATCCTTTTTTTTTCACTTTTTAAGAAACCATTGAAGTGTAATATGCATGCAGAAAAATGCCTATTTTGCGCATATATAGCTCAATGTATTTTCCACAAACTGAATATGCCTATATGGTCAACATTCAGATGCAGAAAAAGCACTGTCAGCTCCCTAAAAGCTCTTTGGCCCCCTTCCAGTCATTCGTAGCCCCCCAACTTCGGATAGCAATCTCTACTTTTTATTTTTATAATTTTTTTTACTTTTTTTAAACATTTTTGAAGTTTGCTTGATATACATGACTACATGGGCTTCAGACATACAGTGTAGTGATTCAACAATTATGTACATTAGGACATGCAATCTCTAGTTTCAAAAGCATGTAATGTAATCATATCCTTAAGCAAGCTGAAACCTCATGAGGAACATTTGGTTTCTTGATATTCCCCATGAGAAACGTAAAAAGCATTTTCCTGGGCCAGACAGAAGACTGCAGCTCCCTGTGCTGTGCCTGACCAGTGAAACAAGGGTCCTTTTGTAGGAGACAGACCCATTCACTTCTTGGGCCAAACACAAGATGCATTTTTCCTGGCTATTTTATTCTACTTCTTTACATCTAGTACAGTTCTGGTGATGAGAATGTATTTAAACTTTACCCTTTCTTCTTATAAAATAACAGTATTCTGCCAATCTCTCCTAAATTGTTTTAGTTTGAGGGGAAGTACATTGTGATTTAAAGTAGTTATCCAGATGTGTACAGATTAATTTTAAATATGTTTAATAAGTGAAAAGTGCTATAATTGATGTAATTTCTAGTGAAAATGTCATTTTCTAGAGCTTTTCAAATTTATAAAATGATAGTTCTAGGTTTTCATTGTTAGAGATTTTCATGAAGTTAATGAGTAAATTGTAGTTTGTTATATAAGACAAGTGTCTTTCTTTCTTGTGAAATAAGATAAAATGCCATGATCATTTCTATAATAGCATACTCTCCTGTGGTTACATGAATGCCTTTGTTAGCTGGCACTGCTGGAGCTGACCCAGGTGCCATCTCAGCCGAACTCTCCAAGTGGGCTTTGCCAGAACCTGGCTTCCTGGCCCTCCCTCTGGGAGATGGACAGGCAGGCTAAACTTCTCCATCTCAGGAGCACAGTTGGACTTCATTTATATACATTTATGAATATATCTATTTATCATCCATAAATCTTAAATCTAGTAATCTTGCTTCCCATTCTCTTCCAAAGTTGTCTCTGATCATGTTAGGTACCCGTAATGTGTACCGGGCTAGGTATAATATACAATATAAGTCACTTAGAGGGTAAATTGTGCAGAAAAAAGGAAGGCTTTAGGAGTTCTTAGTAAATGGTAGGTACCTTGTAGTTAACCCTTCCCAGCCTAAACATGCAGCACGCCCTTTCACATAGCTGTCTGCCCTGATGCCCTCTTCCCACCTCCCATGCACCACCTCATGACCTTCGATTAAGCTAAGTAAGTCAAGTCCTCCCAGTGTAACTTCTGAAACTCTTTTTTAAAATCTCAAGTCTTCACTTCTGGATTGCTTGTCTTCGGTGAGAAAGCTATTAGGTCGCACGCTTAGTTCTACTGACCTAAGAACGTCTCTTATATCTTTTACTGAAGGGTAAAATATAAACATATCCTCTCCCTAGCCTGAACTCTTACATTTTGTATTTTTGCTAGAAGAAAATGAGTTAATTATTAGAGGCATTGTTTTCAAAACATCCACTAAAGATGCTGTTGAGTGTCAGGCTTGTCCTTAGCCATACAGTCACTAGAAACATGACCACGAAAAGCTGATTACAGTGCTGAAGGGATATAAAGGTTATATATGGTCTGAGGTAAATATAGCCAAGGTGAACCTTGTAAAGACATTCTTCAAAGGAGTGAATGGCACTGATTACATATTGCCTCACCTATTTTTAGGGGCCATTATACCTTCAGTGAAGCACATAAATGAAAAGCATTAAAACAAATCCAATAAGGAACCTAATCTCTTAATGACAAAAAATTAACAGTATTCTCCCCAAAATATGAAACTGCAAAAAAAATCTCAGTATAGAATAAAAGATAAAATTAATATTTTCTGCCTATACTTAATACGCATTACATGATCACTATCGGTCTGTCAAATCTACAGACTTTTGTAATTTGGGTTAGTGGTAGAGGAGCCAGACGGATTAAGTTTTGCCTCTCTTTTTCCCTCTGCCTTAAATAACCAAGCGCAAGCAATTTAAACTGCCTATGTACCGTTATCTTTTTCCTGATTTCTAAGTTAATCATACTTCTTTCTTGTGAATTTCAGTGGATTGTACTCCAGAAGTGATTTTACATCCCTATGTTTTGAAAAATGAATGTAATACTTAGCTTTGTTATAATGCTATTGTAGAGAGAAACCTTTTTACCTTGTCTAAAGTTTAAAAACACTCTTTTGAGACAACCCAGAAAACATATTTAATTTTTTTTTTGTATTTTAACCTTGATATAGGTTGCTAACAAAATTTTGGGATTCTTAGTCATTGAAAATTTTGAAATAGAGCAACATACATAAAACCTTTAGTAATATAGACTTGATAGGCAGCATGGGTTATGCAGTGTTTTATTTCTTTGACTTCAGTATTTGAATTCGTATTCTATGTGTTCTTTGAGATGGTATAAATTATTTATGACAGCAATATAAAATCTCTGTTGTTTAAAAAGAAAATCTTAACTTTTCCCTGATTATGAATTTTGTCACAGGGTCATGAATTTTCAGAAAGTGGAGAACCAGAAGACGAGGATGAAGAACTTGATGAGCTTCTGGTAGGTGATATGCTAGCTGTGGGAGGCAACAAAAGTGTTCCTATAGGTAACAACTCAGTCAAAAAGGTATTGACACCTATTGAACAGGTATGGTATGTGCTTAAATCCTGAGATTCTGCCTAAGAGAAACTATAGATTCCCTAGTCTTTGCTAGTCTTTGCAGAGGGCAGATTCCAACTTCCTTTGGAATAATTTCTGTGAATAACTTTGTACATGTGCTTTAGGAAAAGCTTTGGCAGATTTATGAATCAGGCACAGTGTGTTTCTAACACTCTTCCCACACGGTTCCTGCATGAGTGGAAATCAACTGATATAGTCCAGTGTAGTACACTGTTGAGAAGTTAACCAAGGAAGTTCAGCACTGGGTCCTTGAAATGCTGAAATTACGAAGTTAGGAGCCCTGTACTGGTGGCAGAAATGGGATGTGTGGGTGCACACATACAAGTTTATTGACAAATGGAAGTTGTTTATAGCAGTGTTTGAGGTTGTGATGAGTTCTTCACAGATGAGGTCTAGAAGGAGGTATTTACAGGAGGAATCAGAGGAGATATAATTGAGGAAGAGAAAGTCATCCTGAAAAGTGAATCTTGGGATGCCAGTAACATCCCTCCTATTTAGCATTTTTGCCTAATAGAGATCATGCAAGGAGACAGCTGGTAGGCCTGAAATCATTCATGTGCTAACACTACCCTAAATTAATTTCAGAGGTATGGAACTCACAAACTCAAAGTGAATGACACTGTGTTGATTCATTTTCGTTTTCATTTTTTGGACCTCTGGCACAGAGCCCTGTGTAAATCATGCCTTCTCACTGATGAAACACTATCATCATTGGTCTGGGTGGGGCTCCTCTCTATTTAAATTGATTCTCTTTTAGCCCCGTTCCCCTTTTCCCTAACACAGACAACCTTTGGAACATGCTTGTCCTTTTATTTGAATGTGTACTTGTAAAACATGTATTGTTTTATACTCACATATTTTTCATTGACAAAATGGTATTGTGCTATAGAGGTCATTCTCTTCCTTGATTCCTTTGTTCCAAACTCTTCCTTTTACTGAGAAAAAAAAATGTTCTAGTAGGCACTGTTTCCTTTCAGAGGTCAGGAAAGGTTCTGTACATAACAAACACTTATGAGTTCCAGTTAGAATTCCTAAAATTCTTTAGCACAGAATTATACACCAGTTTGGCATTGTCAAACATTGAGCCAATTCATATACCAATTAATGTTCCTGAATCTTCTTTGAGCAGAATTCTTAAGTCTTATAATATTTTTAATCACACAGTTTTAAGCTAGGAGGCACATTAGCTTCACTCAGCATTTAAGCAAGTCCAGCAAAGTAAAGTAATTGTCACATGTCTGTTGTTAGCTGGAGGACAACTCTAGAATCCTGCTTAGAACCAAGACTAGATTTTCTAGCCCAGCACAATTATGTTTTTGATTATACTGTTTCTTTATTGTTTCTAGGATGAAGAAGACAACAAGAAATGGGCTTTTGATAAATACAACAAAAAACCAAAAGGTGTGAGCACATTTGACTTCAAAAGCATACTTTTTAAAAGACTTGATACATAACATACATGCAATATGTACATACATAAATATACAGATACATGTATTCTATTTTATACTTTCTACTGTCACATGACCCTCATAACAAACTGTGAAATAAATATGTAGCACAGGCTTATTTGTTCTCCTTGATAACTACCACAGCTTCATAAAATATTCTCATTACTCATGGCTGCTTACATGTCAGTGTTAAGTGGATTAGGACAGCCTTTTTAATACTTTTTTTTTCAATCAGTATTATTAAGTTGGGCTTTTGTCCCAAATCTCAGTTTATGTCTCTGGTGAGCACTGCCAGACCCTTTTGCTAATGACCAGGCTGGTCTAGGACCACAGCAGGCCATCCAGTTATTTCTCCCAGATCCCAGACTTGAGTCTTTAGTCTTACCATGGACGTTAAAGAGTAGTCCTTCCTAAGCCTACCCTTTGGTGTCAGGGAACAGGTGCCACAGAATAGAGGCAACTGTGATCACCCTTGAGACCTACATTTCTACACCCAAATCATCTGTTATTTTTGCTGAATGACCTCTACATTATGTTTCCACACCATCACATCACAGTGTGTTTTTTGCTGTGTTCTCATTGAAAATAACTGTCCATACTATAGGATATCTGATCTGAAATTAAGCAGAAGGAATAGTTACCTTAATACTTTTTTCATTCTAACTTCTTCTGAAAGAGTAACAAATTTTAGAATATTTTAAGCAAAATGTTAAAATGTCTATCATCTCTGTTTATTCTTAGCATATAGCCTAGTGTTAAAAAGAAATTAAGTATATGATTTAAGTAGTTGATAATGTAAAATTAAAAGAATGCACATGTTTCATGAGTGTACTTTGAAGATCACTATTCAGCTATACATGTGGATTAATATGAAACACCAAACCATAACATGTTCATTTGAGTACAAAGCATTTAATTGTAACTAGGTTAACTTAAAAAAAAGATAATTTATAGCTTACAGAAGTCTTCCTTTCCTGACATCTACTGTTACCTCTGTAGCTATATTTGGGTGCTGGTTATCTGAGCATATACAACCTTGGTCAGGTCTTTCTGGGATTTTTGTCTTAATTTTTCAGGAAATGTGCAGTGTAGACCTTGTCCACTACTCCAGTAGTGTGCTCTTTCAGTGTTGCCCCATAATTCAGGGTTGACAGAGTATCACTGAAATCGTCAGGACTTTCCTTTTCCTCAGTAGTGACAAAAAAATATTCCTAAATGTAACATATTGTAGGAAGCATGTATGATCGTGCAAAAAGCATTTCATCAGAAGTCCTGGGAGAAAAGGAGTCGGCAGCAAGTAAAGAATTTAAAAAGTCACAAAAGGTAAGTGAAAAGAATTTTTCATTTTAGTGTTAAGATCAAAGTACTGAATTGCTCCTTCTACTTTTTATATGACAATTCATGTCACTTAATTCCCTTAATATGAGTTTTTATGGCCCAAAAACTTGGGAAGAATTTCAGGTAATGCTTCACATTTCTAACATGCATATTTATTTATTTATTGGACTTCGGATTTTGAGTCAGGTTGCTTTGCCAAAATTTAATAGCATGTTCTTTTCACTAATGCCATCCATGCAATTCATCATACAATAAAAAATACATAAAAGAACTTTTCTTGCTTAAATTATAAGAATGTAATAATTGTGAGAGTCTAGAAGAGAATTAGGCAAAGCCAAGGAATGGAAAGGATGAATGAAAAAATAAAGATGATGGCCATTAGAAAACATTACAGCATGCTACTTCAGTCTCTCCTGACTGATACCTGCTTTGGAGTTGTTAAAAGTCTGATGGATATGTTCCTTCTTCTTAGAAGTAAGTTACTTTTTCCACTTGCAGAAGAATTTTCTTTACCCATGAGACCACATTTCAGGGCAGAAGTGTTAGAAGGGAATGTGGCAGAAAAGAAAAAAAAGGCCTTGTTAATCCTTATTCAACCTTCGGGTCTCAGCTTAAATGTTATTTCTACATAGAGGCCTTCTGTGACCAGCAGCACTTACATATATTATGTTCCATTATTATTTTCTCACATAGCACCTATTTCTTATTCTTTGGATTTATCACAGTTTGCAATTACATAGTTATTTATACAGTTGACCCTTGAACAACATGGGTTTGGATTGTGCAGGTCTACTTCTACACAGATTTTTTTCAATACATATATTGCAAAATTTTTTGGAGATTTGTGACAATTCGAAAAAGCATTTTCTTTTCTCTAGTTTACTTTATTGTAAAAATATAGTATATAATGCGTGTAACATACAAAATAGGTGTTAATCGATTGTTTATGTTATCCGTAAGGTTTCCAGTCAACAATAGACTATTAGTATTTAAGTGTTTGGGTAGTCAAAGTTATACATGGATTTTTGACTGCACAGCAGGATGAGCACCCCTAACCCTGCATCGTTCAACAGTCAACTGTGCATGTGTTTGCTTTACCTCTCTGTCTTCCCCGCTGGCCTCAGCTCCATAAGGACAGGAGCTGTTTTCTGTTTTGCTTTCCAGTGTACCTTCAGGATTAGCATAGTGCCTGGTTCATGGTTCATGGTTCATGCTCAGTAAATATTTTTGTTGATAATAAACTATAAAATATAAGGAAGTAAGAAAGAGGAAAGAATGAAGAAGGTAAAACCAGGACCTTTTGCCATCCTTCGGGGATATATGCCTCTGAAATTCCTGTCAGAATTACTTGAGAAATTTCAAGTTATTTTGGCCCAGGTCTCCATATTATCTTTTATTAAAAATTACTTCATGACCATTTTCATCCTTATAAAAATTAAAAGTTTTCACTATGATACCCAAAAGAAGATAGCTTGGCTCAAAGATATTCGAGAATTACTATCTTTCTTAGAATTATAACAGATGTATCACCAGAAGAGTTGATCAGGGTTAAGGAACTGTTTAGATTCTCTGTCTACTAGAACAGACCATATAACAGATACCTTACTATACTTCACAGCCTTCCTCTGAAGACTTTTTTCCCATTATAAGAGCTCAAGGAAAGACTCTGGAAAATAAAATCAAAATGAGGAAGGAAGGTGAAAAGCAAAGGATTCAGGGACATAAGAATCTAAGGAGAGGAAAAGTGAAGTGAAACAGCAAACAAACAAAAAAAATAGAAACATACCTCTGATCAAATGAAATGTGGAATTTAGAACACACAATCGAGTTTCAGGAACTTGCCAGGCTCTCCAGGATTCAGCATTGCCTATAGGTGGTAGGATACAGTTTTCCAGACTATAGCCAATGCTGATTATTTGGATCCACAGGTAGCCCCTAAGAAAAATGTTATTGGCTTAATTTCCATCTAAGTAAGTTAATGAGAAAAACAGCAAGCTTTTCAGCAATTAAACATAATTTCTTTCCATCATGGAATTAGTTCATTAATGTATTTGTTTAGCATATATTAATTGAATATCTCTGAATGTGCCAGACACAAGGCTAGAGGCTGCAGATACAGAGGTTAAAGCTCCAGTGCCTTCCCTCTGAAACTAGCCGGAACAAGGCAGATTCCCAGGACAGTTCCTGTGCCAGTTCACAGCCAGTAGATTTCTTACTGTCACCACCATAAATGAGAATTTCTCTACCAGAGAGTATGCCAGTGAGTTGTTACCTTCCCTAGGGACTACCTTTTCGGAGATGCTCTGCTTTGTTCACCACTGCAGCTGCAACTCAGCACATTCAGCTCAAGTACACAGTTAGCTTTACTCTATGTTGTGAGGAAAACCTGAGGTAAATTATATATATGGTCTCCTGTCATTGTTTTTTTCCCAGGCTTATATCTCTAAGACAGTCTCTTTCAGGCCCACCCAATAATTACTCCCCTGCTTTAAAAAATAGGGATAAATAGAGTAAATTAAACCCAAAGTAGAAGAAAGAAAACAATAAAGATCAGAGTGGGCATCAATAAATTAAAAAAATATATAGAAAAATCAATGAAACCAAAACCTGGTTCTTTGAAAATTGATAAACTTCTAACGAGTTAGTCAGGGAATAAGAAACAGAAGACATAAAATAAATCTGACAAAATATGTGCAAGACCTGTACATTGAAAATTATGAAACCTTGCTAAGAGAAATTTAACAAGACAAATCAGTTGTCTTGTTATATGTGCACTTATTTCTGGATTCATATTCTATTCCTTCAATCTGTTTACTGTTTACCAATCTGTTTACCGATACCACACTGTCTTGATTACTGTAGCTTTTAATAAGTCTTGAAATCAGGAAGTATTAATCCTCCAACTTTGTTCTTTTTCAGACTTGTTTAGACCATTTATATTTAACCTGATTGTTGATGCATGTAGGTTTAAATCTATCATCTTATTATTTGTAGTATTCTATTTATCCCTAAAAATGCTGAAGTTTATTTTATCTAATATTAATATAGCTGTACTGGCTTTTCTTTGGTTAGCATTTGCCTGATAAATCTTTTTTTCATTATTTTACTTAATGTTTTTGATGGAGGAATAATTGACATATATTAAGCTATACATTTATAGTATTTAATTTGATTAGTTTTGACATACATGTACTCCTGTGAAACCATAGTCACAGGAGAGTGAACAGTGCTATTATCAGCAGGTTCTTTATTCTTCTTTGTGCTCCCTCTCTACACCCCACTGGCCTCATGCCATCCTCAGCAAACCACTACTTTCCATCATTATATATTATTTTGCAAGTCCTAGATTTTCATATGAATTAAATTCTATACTATGTACTTTTTTTTTGGTTTGGCTTCTGTCATTCAGCATAATCATTTTGAGATTCATCCTTGCATGTAGCCATAGTTCATTCCTTTAAACGGCTGAGTAATATTCTATTTTGAGTTAATTTTTTTATATGATGAATGTATGGACTGAAGTTCATTTGTTTTGCATCTGGACATCCAATTGTTCTAGCACCATTTGTCAAAAACAGACTACCCTTTCTCTATTGAAATACCTTAGCCTGTTTCTCAGAAATCAGTTGTCTTGTTATATGTGCACTTATTTCTGGATTCATATTCTATTCCTTCAATCTGTTTACTGTTTACCAATCTGTTTACCGATACCACACTGTCTTGATTACTGTAGCTTTTAATAAGTCTTGAAATCAGGAAGTATTAATCCTCCAACTTTGTTCTTTTTCAGACTTGTTTTGGCTATTCTAGACTCTGCATTTCCATGCGAATTTTTAGAATCAGTTTGTCAATTGCTGAAAAAAAAAGCCTGCTGAGATTTTGACTGGGGTTGCTTTTAATCTGCGGATGAATTTGGGAAGAAGTAACTTCTTAACAATTTTAAGTCTCCTAACTCATGAGGATGATATTTCTCTCCATATATTGATGTCTTCTTAAATTTCTCTTAGCAAGGTTTCATAATTTTCAATGTACAGGTCTTGCACATATTTTGTCAGATTTATTTTATGTCTTCTGTTTCTTATTCCCTGACTAACTCGTTAGAAGTTTATCAATTTTCAAAGAACCAGGTTTTGGTTTCATTGATTTTTCTATATATTTTTTTAATTTATTGATGCCCACTCTGATCTTTATTGTTTTCTTTCTTCTACTTTGGGTTTAATTTACTCTCCTTTTTCAGTTTCTTAACATGGTAGTTGAGGTCAATGATTTGAGACCTTTCTTATTTTCTAATATAGGCTTTTCATGCTATAAATTTCCCCTGAAGTTCTTGGACATACTGTGTTTTCATTTTCATTCAGTTCAGAATATGTTACATTTTCCCCTTTGATTTCTTGGACTCATGGGTCATGTAATTTCAATTCACTGGGGATTTTCCAAAGATCTTTCTGTTATTAGATTCTAATTTCATTACACTCTGATTGGAGAAAATACTCATCATGAATTAAGTCCTTTTCAGCTCTGTCTTGGTAAGTGTTCCCTGTGCACTTGAGAAGAAGTTTGAGAAGAAGTTGTTTTTGGGTGGACCATTCTATCAATGTCAGTTACATCAAGTTGGTTAATAGTGTTGTAGACGTCTTCTCTATCTTTCCTGATTTTCTGGCTACTTATTCTGTTTTTGAGAAAGGGGTATAATTGTAGATTTGTCTATTTCTCCTTGTATTTCTATTAGTTTTCACTTCATGTATTTTAAAGCTGTTATTATGTTCTGTAACATTTAAGATTATTATATTCTTTTGATTAATTGATGCCTTTATCATTATGAAATGGCCTTCTTTGTCCTCAATAATATTCTTTGCTCTGAAATCTACTTGGTCTGATATTATATAGCTTTCTTTTGATTAGAGTCATCATGCTATATCTTTTTCCATCCTTTTAGCTCAATTGTAATTTTATATTTGAAGTGCATTTGATAAAGGCAGAATATAGATGTGTCTTGCTTTTTTATCTGAAAATCTCTGCCTTCTAATTGGAACATTTAGACCATTTATATTTAACCTGATTGTTGATGCATGTAGGTTTAAATCTATCATCTTATTATTTGTAGTATTCTATTTATCCCTAAAAATGCTGAAGTTTATTTTATCTAATATTAATATAGCTGTACTGGCTTTTCTTTGGTTAGCATTTGCCTGATAAATCTTTTTTTCATTATTTGACTTAATGTTTTTGATGTATCACTTATAAATGGCCTATAAGCTGGATTTTGTCTTTTAAATTTTTAACATGCATACATAAAATCTAAATACAGCTAATTAATGTTCCTGTCTTTTCCCCAAATAATATTAAGATCTCAGAGTTTTTCTCCAGTCACGTCTTCTTTCCCATTTTACTTGTTGTTATATCCAGTCTTTTAACCTCACCAGTCAACTATTATTTGTTGTACCACTTGCTTTACTCTCCATTTCTTTTTATATCTCAGCTATCCTTCCTAGGATCCTTTTTCTTCTCTCTGAAGAAATCTTTTGGAAGTTCCTGTCATAGATTTATTTTTATAGCTAACTTTTTCCGTTTCTATTTACTTGAAAACAAATGATAGTATGGCTGGTTGAGTCATTTTCTCTTGGTATCTGCTCCTATTTTTGCTATTAAGAAATTTGCTTTAGTATAATTGCTGATAACTTCGTATGTAATCTGTCATTCTCTATGACTGCTTTTTAATTTTTGTGTTTTGATGTGCCTCAGTCTGTGATATTTGGGGGAATTTCAAAGCTTTCATCTATTTCATAGTTTCTTTTCAGCTGAGACTAATCTGCTATTTAACTTACTTATTGAGTTTTAATTTCAGTGATTATATTTTTCACATTTTGAAGTAAAATTCTGTTTTGATTCTTTCTCCTATCAATCTGATCTTTTAAAAACTAGTATCTTTTTTTGTGCTCATGCTTTTTATTCTAGCCCTTTAAATAATTTGGCCATACTTATTTTATATTCTGTATTTAGTTATTGTAATGTCAGGCATCCTTAGGAGTCTATGTTCATTACTTTGGTTAAATTACTAATACTGTCTTGTTTCCTTATGAGTTTTGAAATTTGGATTGTGAGTTCATATTCAACTGGGATGTTTTTCTGTGGAAATCCTTTAAGGCTTAGATTAGGGTAAATCCATCCATAGACAATTTATATTATCCTCTGTTAGCATCCCTGGGTGTTACCATTCCAGGTCTGCTTTTAGTTAATTTCTCAGTTAAGGGTTTCCCACTCACACCAGTAATGTAAATGTGAACCCCAAACTCACATTAGGAAAACATTCTTCTCTTCACTCAAAGCCTACGCTGAGAGAGACATGTTATTTTGTTATCTCCCAATGTTTTCAGGTGGACATACATTAAGGGCATGGTACTTAGTCTCCACTCTATGTAGAGGTCTAAGTTCCAGTTCTCCTCAGTTTGTGAGATCAGATCTGTCAAAATCTAAGTTATGAGTTCAATAAATGGCATTTGAGTGTTCGCTCACCTAGGAAGTTTCCTGCTCCCTCTTCATTTTTTGATCCACAGGGATTTCTTTTCATATTTTTGTGAGCTTACCTACACATTATAAATTTATATTTTTATACTTATTTAGCATTTCTTGGTATTTTGTAGTGGCAGAATTTTTCAAGATGTGTGTTCCTCCACAATACCAGGAATAGGAGTTGCCCTATTTTAGTTCATAGACTCTTTTCCTAGACTCTGACTTCTGGGTTATAACTTCTTACTCTGGTTCCTCCATTCTTTCAGGCTAAAGGTAAGCTATTACTGTTAGCTCCATTTTGATTTCTGATAATGCGAAGTCCTAACCTGTGTTTTGTTTTTGGCATCTTGTCAGAACTGTTATTTGTGTTGTCACACTTTTGGAATCCTATTTTCTCTCGGGCTAAATCGTTAAAGGGCATAAATCAAATGGAACTTTTCAATGATTATCTTCTTTGATCTCTCCTGCATGTACCCTATTTGCCACTCTCTTCTGGATATATTTTCTTCCCCTGGCTTCTGAGCTGCCTCTTCTTCCTGATTCCGTTCCTGAGAAATTCATTCCCCGTGGTTGGGTCCTCTTTCCTGCCTACCTCACCCCTGGGTCTTCCTCAGTCTCTTTTCTTCTGTTCCTTCTCCTGCCTAAGATCCCTGGTTATGGGATCTACTTTCTCCCCTTCAGCTATTACCTATATTCTGTCTATCTGCAGCCCTGGCCTCCCCAGAGCAACAGATCCATATATCCAACTGCCTACCCTGACCCCTGGGGCTCCCATAGCCATCCTTGGGCAACATTAATATTTTGCCAGAAGTTCTAATCTACAGGGATGGGGAGGTATGTCCTCCTCCATAATACCCAAGTTTTCGTATTTTTTCCTCTTATAACACAACAAAGTGAAATACTAAATTGTTCTTTGAAGAAAAATGATAATATATTACCAAGGCACTGATAGTGTTGAAGGTTAAATCCTGAAAGGTCTTGTTTTAGGGAGGAATTATTATTGCCATTGGTAAAAAAAAAAAAAAGGATGAGAGATTCTAAGAATGCACCATTGTACATGTGGTGCCCCCATAAGGATGTGATGAAATAATATTAAGACTTGTGAAAATTATACCCCCTAAATACTAATAAGTGAATATTTCACTTACTGAAATGAATTTTTGTATGTGGGTTTTTTCCAGATTTCCTTGTTTCAAAGGATATTATCGATAAATCAGAAAACTACAAAGAGTAATAATGAGCCACTACGAGAAAAAAAGCCAACAGGAGATCAAATAGCTGTTAAAAGCAACAATGAAGATGCCAACCAGATCCACATGGGGCAAAACCATCAGGATACTTTACCCCCAGATATGAAGAGAACATCTAAATATTGTACAGTACTATAAACATATATTCATGGTCACCAAACACTGTAATTTAAACTGGAAAAACACTGACTTCTGAATAAAAGCTTCTGGTAACAGAGTTTTAAATATATAAGTTAATAATTTCTCCTATTTGGTTTGACTGGTACAACCAGTTTTGATATTTATGTATGCAACTGTTTTTGACAAGCAGTTTCAAAATATGTGCATCTCAAACTCTTCTTCAAGGGTTGTGCCTTTAACTGTTCAGTGTTGCAATAAAAAATATATTTTTATATGTGAGGGTTAAATTAAGATATTTCATAGTTTTTACTTCTTTATAATTTCACAGGGAAATATTTGCAATCTCAACACTATAACAGTTTTTAATGTATTTGCAATTTTTCAAAACTGAGTCAAAACTGTTGTTAGTGAACATACTTTAATAAACTATGTCTGGTTGTTTCCACTAAGTGAATCTGGTCCATTTGAATGGGTAAATATGAATAAACTTTGGAGGCATTTGGAGTTATCAGTTGACAGGATGAAGGCAAAAAATCTAATTTTTAAATAGTGAGAGATGCAAAATATATTTGCCTCTGAGTAAAGAAAACTGTAAACAGTACATCTTTGTGGAAAGCTGTTGAAATTTCTTCCTGCTTCCCATACCTTTGTTTAGGGAGATGCTTTGGTATGAAAATATTGAATATTATCTGGTGTGATCCTGAGTGTTTGACCATGCCACAGATCACCACCATGGGAGAACCAAACACAGCCAGGCTTGCTCATTTCAGCTGTGTCTAGCATTGACAGTGGAAACCAAGGTTAACTCCATTACACAGTGCTCTACCACAAGGAATAGGAAGGGTAAAGCTGTCAGGTATCCTCTGATAGAGACATTGCTTTCCTAGGCTCACAGGTGCTACTTATTTAATGGAGCAAACTACTTTCATTTGCCCCATTCCAGCTTCTGACTAAAATATTTTTATTCTTCACTCACAGTGAACATTACCTCATCTAAACAAAGAGAAAAAGAACTCCATTTTTTTTATTTCATGCACAGAGGTTGTATGGATGTTAGTCTAGAGCATATGTGATTTTTTTTCATTGTCCTTTTTTTTTTTCATTTTGGTATCATTAATGTACAATTACATGAGCAATATTATGGTTACTAGACTCCCCCTATTATCAAGTCCCCACCACATTCCCCATTACAGTCACTGTCCATCAGTGCAGTAAGATGCTGTAGAGTCACTACTTGTCTTCTTTGTGTTATACTGCCTTCCCTGTGCAACCCCCCACTACATTGTCTGTGCTAATCATAATGCCCCCTTTTCCCCATTATCCCTCCTTTCCCACCCATCCTCCCAAGTCCCTTTACCTTTTGTAACTGTTAGTCCATTCTTGGGATCTGTGAGTCTTCTGCTGTTTTGCTCCTTCAGTTTTTTCTTTGTTGTTATACTCCACAGATGAGTGAAATCATTTGATACTTGTCTTTCTCCCCCTGGCTTATTTCACTGAGCATAATACCCTCTAGCTCCATCCATGTTGTTGCAAATGGTAGGATTTGTTTTCTTCTTATGGCTGAATAATATTCCATTGTGTATATCTACCACGTCTTCTTTATCCATTCATCTACTGATGGACACTTAGGTTGCTTCCATGTCTTGGCTATTGTAAACAGTGCAGCGATAAACATAGGGGTGCATCTGTCTTTTTCAAACTGGGTTGCTGCATTCTTATGGTAAATTCCTAGGAGTGGAAATCCTGGGTCAGATGGTATTTCTATTTTTAGTTTTTTGAGGAACCTCCATACTGCTTTCCACAATGGTTGAACTAATTTACATTCCCACCAGCAATGTAGGAGGGTTCCCCTTTCTCCACATTCTCGCCAACATTTGTTGTTGTTTGTCTTTTGGATGGTGGCCATCGTAATTGCTGTGAAGTGATATCTCATTGTGGTTTTAATTTGCATTTCTCTGATTAGTGATGTGGAGCATCTTTTCATGTGTCTGTTGGCCATCTGAATTTCTTCTTTGGAGAAGTGTCTATTCAGCTCCTCTGCCCATTTTTAATTGGGTTACTTGCTTTTTGTTTGTTGAGGTGCATGAGCTCTTTATGTATTTTGAATGTCAATCCCTTATCAGATATGTCACTTATGAATATATTCTCCCATACTGTAGGATGTCTTTTTGTTCTACTGATGGTGTCCTTTGCTGTACAGAAGCTTTTTAGTTTGTTATAGTCCCACTTGTTCATTTTTGCTTTTGTTTCCCTTGCCCAGGGAGATATGTTCATGAAGAAGTTGCTCATGTTTATGTCCAAGAGATTTTTGCCTATGTTTTTTTCTAAGAGTTTTATGGTTTCATGACTTAAATTCAGGTCTTTGACCCATTTCGAGTTTACTCTTGTGTATGGGGTTAGACAATAATTGAGATTCATTCTCTTACATGTAGCTGTCCAGTTTTGCCAACACCAGCTGTTGAAGAGGCTGTCATTTCCCCACTGTATATCCATCATTTCTTTATCATATATTAATTGACCATATATGCTTGGGTTAATATCTGGACTCTCTATTCTGTTCCACTGGTTTATGAGTCTTGATTACTGTGGCTCTGTAGTAGAGCTTGAAGTTGGGAAGTGAGATCCCCTCTGCTTTATTCTTCCTTCTCAGGATTGCTTTGCCTATTTGGGGTCTTTTGTGGTACCATATGAATGTTAGAACTATTTGTTCCAGTTCGTTGAAGAATGCTGTCAGTATTTTGATAGGGGTTGCATTGAATCTGTAGATTGCTTTAGGCAGGATGGCCATTTTGACAATATTAATTCTTCCTACCAAAAAGCATGGAATGTACTTCCATTTGTTAGTATCCTCTTTAATTTCTCTTAAGAGTTTCTTGTAGTATTCAGGGTATAGATCTTTCACTTCCATGGTTAGGTTTATTCCTAGGTATTTTATTCTTTTTGGCGCAATCGTGAATGGAATTGTTTTCCTGATTTCTCTTTCTGCTAGTTCATCTTTAGTGTATAGGAATGCAACAGATTTCTGTGTATTAATTTTTTATCCTACAACTTTGCTGAATTCAGATACTAGTTTTAGTAGTTTTGAAGTGGATTCTTTAGGGTTTTTTATGTACAATATCGTGTCATCTGCAAACAGTGACAGTTTAACTTCTTCCTTACCAATCTGGATGCATTTTATTTCTTTGTGTTGTGTGACCTCCAGGCTAGGACCTCCAGGGCCATGTTGAATAAAAGCAGGGAGAGTGGGCATCCTTGTCTTGTTCCTGATCTTAGGTGAAAAGCTTCAGCTTCTCACTGTTCAGTATGATGTTGGCTGTGGGTTTGTCACATATGGCCTTTATTATGTTGAGATACTTCCCTCTATAACCATTTTGTTGAGAGTTTTTATCATGAATGGGTGTTGAATTTTGTCAAATGCTTTTTCAGCATCTATGGAGATGATCGTGTGGTTTTTGTCCTCCTTTTTGTTGATGTGGTGGATGATGTTGATTGATTCTTGAATGTCTTACCATCCTTACATCCGGGAGATGAATCCCACTTGATCATGGGGTATGATCCCCTTGATGTATTTTTGAATTCAGTTTGCTAATATTTTGTTGAGTATTTTTGCATCTGTGTTCATCAGGGATATTGGTCTGTAGTTTTCTTTTTTTGTGGTGTCTTTGCCTGGTTTTGGTATTAGAGTGATGCTGGCTTCATAGAAGGAGTTTGGGAGTATTCCCTCCTCTTCTATTTTTTGGAAAACTTAAAGGAGAATAGGTATTATGTCTTCTCTAAATGTCTGATAAAATTCAGTGGTGAATTCATCTGATCCAGGGGTTTTGTTCTTGGGTAGTTTTTTGATTACCGCTTCAATTTCCTTGCTGGTAATTGGTCTGTTTAGATTTTCTGTTTCTTCCTGCGTCAGTCTTGGTAGGTTATATTTTTCTAGAAAGTTGTCCATTTCTTCTGTTATCCAGTTTGTTAGTATATAGATTTTCATAGTATTCTCTAATAATTCTTTGTATTTTTGTGGTGTCTGTTGTGATTTTTCCTTTCTCATTTCTGATTCTGTTTATGTGTGTAGATTCTCTTTTTCTCTTAATAATTCTGGCTAGGGGTTTATCAATTTTGTTTGTTTTCTCAAAGAACCAGCTCTTGGTTTCTTTAATTAATTTTTTCTCTTGTTTTATTCTTCTCAATTTTATTTATTTCTTCTCTGATCTTTATTATGTCCCTCCTTCTGACTTTAGGCCTCATTTGTTCTTCTTTTTCCACTTTCAATAATTGTGAATTTAGACTATTCATTTGGGATTGTTCTTCCTTCTTTAAATAGGCCTAGATTGCTATATACTGTCCTCTTAGAACTGCCTTTGCTGTGTTCCACAGAAGTTGGGGTGTTGTACTGTTGTTTTCATTTGTCTCCATATATTGCTTGATCTCTGTTTTAATTTGATCATTGATCCATTGATTATTTAGGAGCATGTTGTTAAGCCGCCATGTGTTTGTGAGCCTTTTGTTTTCTTTGTACAATTTATTTCTAGTTTTATACCTTTGTGATCTGAGAAGTTGGTTGGTACAATTTCAATCTTTGAATTTACTGAGGCTCTTTTTGTGGCCTTGTATATGGTCTGTTTTGGAAAGTGTTCCATGTGCACTTAGAAGCATGTGTATCCTGCTGCTTTTGGGTGTAGAGTTCTGTAGATGTCTATTAGGTCCATCTGTTCTCGTGTGTTGTTCAGTACCTCTGTGTCCTTGCTTATTTTCTGTCTGGCTGATCTGTCCTTTAGAGTGAGTGGTGTGTTGAAGTCTCCTAAAATGAATGCATTGCATTCTGTTTTCTCCTTTAATTCTGTTAGTATTTGTTTCATATATGTCAGTGCTCCTATGTTGGGTGCATAGCTATTTATAATGGTTATATCTTCTTGTTGGACTGATCCCTTTATCATTATGTAACATTCTTCTTTATCTCTTGTTACTTTCTTTGTTTTGAAGTCTTTTTTGTCTGATACTAATACTGCAACACCTGCTTTTTTCTCCCTATTGTTTGCATGAAATATCTTTTTCCATTCCTTGACTTTTAGTCTGTGTATATCTTTGGGTTTGAGGTGAGTCTCTTGTAAGCAGCATATAGATGGGTTTTGCTTTTTTATCCATTCCATTACTCTCTGTCTTTTGATTGGTGCATTCAGTCCATTTACATTTAGGGTGATTGTCGTTAGATATATACTTATTGCCACTGCAGGCTTTGGATTCTTGGTTACCAAAGGTTCAAGGGTAGCTTCTTTACTATCTGCCTGTCTAACTTAACTCACTTATTATGCTATTATAAACACAGTCTGATGATTCTTTATTTCTCTCCCTTCTTTTTCTTCCTCCTCCACTCTTTATATGTTGTGTTTTATTCTGTACCATTTTGTGTTTCCTTTGACTAATTTTGTGGATAGCTGTTTTATTTTGT